CTATCTCAAATCCTAACGCCAAGGCCATGGTGAAGGCTTCAAACACATCCGTAATCAAGTTGCTCGTCTCATGGTGCATGATATGTCAGTCATAAATTTAAAGGCCGGTAGAGCCGACTTCAACGCAAATATTCACGGAAAATCGAGCCCAAACGGTTCTTCATGACAGGATCAGCAGTAACAGCGTGGGGTCGTTTCAGAGTACGTGGGGGTATTTAAAGACTGTATCAGATTTATGTTTAGTAAAAAATGAAACCCTAGCTGGTGGAAATATCTTGGCAGGGTCTTCTTCATTTTAGTTAACTAAAGCCTCGCGAGATAATGGTGGCTCATTTGAGAACGGAAGAATTCGAAAATAGTTACGGTACGGTGGACACTATTACGGAACAGCCTTCTATGTCGGAGTCATACATCCTCATAGATGCGTGTACAAAATTTCAAGTGAGAACTAGAACTGGTTATCGATATGTGTTTTGCAATTTACCGCATTCATAGTACTTGTGTCGAGGAGTTACACGGTTCGCGTATGGTAACGTATGTAAGACAATTAAGCTTTACCGCACAGCCACAGCGCCGCACGGCAAAGCCACAGATTTGGGGTATTTTACATAATGACGGTTAGTTAGAAACAAGTATATTTCAGTCATGAACCATTGGTACTGTAAGTATCCGCCAGCTCAAAGTTACTGCTGGGGTAGAGGCACAGTGTAGCGACCGAAAGGGACGAAAGCCTTTTTTTTTGTGAAGATAAATTTTTATTCGTTTAAACCCAGAGGGAGGCCGAGCCAGTGAAAATCCTCCAAGGAGCAAATAACTATAACGATTTCGTATGTCCACTACTTTGATGAGTTGGAAGAACCCAATCCGACAAATACCCGATTACGTATTGCAGTTCATAGAAGAGTATTGAATTGAAACTGGTGAATTGATAGAAGGTGATCAACTGGCAGAAAATGTGAAATGCTGGTCAACTGCAATAGCTGGCGTGCTAACTAGATCAGTCCGGGCATAGAGACAAAAACAATTCCAAAGCCGGACTCAGCTCAATCTTTCATGCGTCAATGGTGTCCGAGTCCGAAAACTTCACCAAAACCTGGTGACCGTTCCACGCCCCCGACTGTTCCTGCGGAAGATGCGAAAATAGAGCAGCGAGACCAATGACTGCTCAATCCCTCAAGAATAACCCTCTCAAATTCTGGATCAAGTATTAGGTGAAAAATCATGTTCAATGCGCAGGTCGGGTTGAGTTCCACACTCGGACTGCTGTCTTGTGCAAATCCTAGTTCAAACACCAGGTCAGGCTGTGTTGACAGGTTCCACACCCGCCCTCCAGCTATTGACAGACGCCTCTTCGTGGTGCTGGAGACTATTACTCAGTTCAGGCTGAGGAAGCCAAGATCCGTCCAAGTTTTACACGACATTTTGCCCCTCCCTTGTGGAATCTGGCAACAACTGTTAATAATCCAAAATCATCAACAATGTTCGAAATGTACCTGTGTAATTCATCATTGTGTTTAATTCACACGCTATCTCGTCAATAACATAAAACATGTGCAAGAAGCTAATAATGATCGTGGAATAACTGGATAGTCAGTTTAAAAACTGATGGGCCAAATAAAATACCGCGTTTCATTTAGTCGAGATATTCAATAAGTAGCTTCAGATTCAACTTGCTCAACCCTGTTCAAGACTGTCCATTCCATTTTACATAATTCAAATCTGTGTCTTCTGTTTAACCTTGTCATTTGCACTCACAACCCATTGACCAAATTAAACTGGTTCGTTAGCAGGTATAACCCTCCTTCTTAGACAGAGCAAATGAACTCTTGACAGTATACCGTATTCCTCCACTACGGAATCCTTTTAACTGATTAAACAGTCCACTAACTTGTAATGGCAAATTCTGCTAGTTATATTACTATTAAAGTAGTCACTATACTTTCATAATGATTTGTATGGGGTAATATTTCCTTAGATATTCCTTGTTCAAGACAACTTTCTTGCAATGGTGACGACGACGACGATGATGATGATGAATTCATTTGCACGATGTAGCTCATTTGCACCTGTAATATTGTCAAACAACCACTCAGGAATCTCGCCTAGTTAGCCCTATGAAACAGTTGTTCAGTGGGCTGGTAACGGCCTTGAAGCTGTCGGCAGGGCAGGCCCGACAGCACACCCGCTTAGCAGCATATATTGGGGCAAGACAGACCCGGCCACGCAAGCATAATAAACAAAGGAAACGCAAAACGAGCGTCGCCTACGCCCCACCTACCAATAACCCAGGCAAACTTCACTATACGCGCTGTTCAATATTCGAAGTTGTGGCATGATGCTACTAAATAGAACAGTATACCTGTTACCGCGAAGAAATATTCTTTGTCTATCATCCAGTCACTCTTCTGGTCATTCTGCCATTTTTAATATGCTTTCCTCTATTGACACGGTTCAAATGTTTTGCCGGAAGGATTTCATTGTTAAATAAGCTAATCACTAACCAGCACAGCAAAATGTTTCCGCTAGTATCTTGCACGCAGATTATAAACACACACATCTGGTGGTCAGCCAAGGCCGCCAATCATATGACTCTAACAAACTGCTCATATTAGCAACTGTTTTTCAGCGACGCAAGCACCGAAGCATTCTGTCAGTAACGAGACCCAATCAAGCTCCTAGGAAAAAATTTATCTGTTGAAGTATGCCTAACAGCTTTCAAAAATATGTGGCGTGTTTCAACTTACGTTTAACTCAGCAGAATTCGATGATTGCTGAACAGACTGGGTCGTTTTTAGTGGGATGAGCCCGATATTAGGAACTAGAAAATATTTAAACCTAACTAGAAAAATCAGATAAACGTTAATCCTATAAACTTTTTAATAAAATAGGAGGCATTTAGCATCACGAACCCCGTATATTATTATCACGCACGGTGACTTTCTAGCTTATAGGTAGAGCTAACCGCGAAGCATAGTGCTATCGTAGGTCTTGAACTCGATATCTTCACGGGGGATAGCTATTTTAGTAGATAAGTGTAAATTACGCCGGATAATACTCGAAAGGCGTAAGGCAGCGCTTATTTGACTAGATCTTAATGTTGAAAGCTATAAGGATAGGACAGTAACGTCTAAAGGGGGGTAACTCGCTATTTAATTTCCCTCGGTTTAAGTGTTAATGTATAATGGACATTTCTATTCTTTTCTTTTAGTTCATGGATATTTTTTCGGTCTTTACCTCCTACCTACTTTTCCTGAATTAGCTGGAGTAAATACTCTCGGGATGATTATAATTAGTAATACGACCCCGGTAAGTTACGGAGTTTTTAGGTGGCGTTAGCGCTTTTCGTATGATTACAATTAGTAATATAGCCTCGGTGCGATAGGCTCAGGTGGCGCTCGTCCGTATGTTCCTGACATTCATGAGGATCACTTTCCGATTAAAATAATTGGGATATGTCTCTGACCTCCTGACTCAATTTGTCGAATGTCCTTATTATTGAAATATACCGCGATTGTAGCTATTATAATAAGAGTTAGGCCTATAAAGTAGAAATAGTTCTTGACGGCGGCCAGGCATTCAGCGCCGGCTATTCACCTTTGAGATGATGTACACTTGCTATCTTACGTATACTCTCACAGTATGTACTAGGTATATAAATTACAATATATTATACATTTAAAAGCATTCACACTTAAGTCCTAACGTAAGCCCAGCTACTCCTATACGGAAAGCACTATTCAGGATTTATTCCATGTTACTATTGCTCTATAATTGCAAGAAGAATACTACTAGGTATCGAGAGCAAGGTTTATATCGACTTCATAAACAGGATAATATCTTCTAGAATATAGCTAGCGTGAGTAATAATAAGAACTAAAAGATATACACGTTAGTATTCTTCTGCTACGTATAGTATACTATGAAAATAGGTAATACTTACTATAGCTTGTATTCTAGTATACCTTGAGCTTTAACCGGGGAATCATCTATGCTACACGCCTCGCGGTCACTTCTATAGGAGTTCTAGCATCCGAGTCACTATATAGAAGTAGGACAGGAAGCTCCGACTCCCGATTTAGTGTAGCTAAATTCTTACTAAAGTCGTAACCACTAAAGAGCCGTATAGATCGTTTAATTATAAGAGTATTAGCCACGTCGGCTATACGCTTAATACGCCCTATTAGCTTATTAGGTACTTTATTATCACTAACGCCTAGCGGTCCTTTAAATACCTCTAATATAAAGCCTGCCCGGTTATCACGAATCTTATCGATTACCTACTCCTATACCTCTTTCGGCGTGCCTTAGGGCGACTTCCCCGAGTTTGGAGAAAGGGATCCCCAATATTATCAGTTACAAGTTTGCCAGGCACCAATTGCACGACGATCGGGGGGTGACAACGCCTTATCCCGTGGCAACTACTTGGTTCTTTCCTTTCCTTTTCTTTTTTAAAGCAAAAGAAACGGTGAGGCCAGGAGCCGAGGCATTTGCATTACAGTTCTTAGTCCAATTCTTAGTCGGTATTTTCTTTTGTGACATTAATTGTCTTTTTCTTCACTTCCTCATGTGTCTTATCACCGGCCTATATTCTCCCCGGGTATGAAATGTCGGACTCCAAAGTGGCCCTCACGACATTGCTGGGAACACCAACGCTTTATGATTTCATTGAATGAATGGATGTATGGATAGATTAATATAATTTTACTGTCGGAATCAAACACTATGAAGGCTACAACAGCTATAACTATCTTGGTATGCATATTGTACTGTCATCCATTTCATCCAGAAAGGATTCGGCTATATTGAGCGAAGTTAGACAGAATCTAGATTGAAAAAGTAGGTAATAGTAAGAGGAAAACAATGTACAGTGCAGGAGCAAATGTACAAGCAGGGAGTTTATGTACTGACGGGTCGGGGAATCAATTTTGTAGCCTTTTAGGGATTCATGCAGAGACTCTCAAAAGGAAAGAGACAGAAGAGAAATGAAACAGATGAAGAAATTAGCGTAGATAGAAGGTAGCAAAGTCGTCCAGCACCAGGAACTCGTCAAACAAGCAGGTACCCCGCTCCTGCAGCGACGAGTTTTCCAAGCCCAGGTCGAACTGGTTGAATTCCCCGTCCAGATCCTCATGGGAGACTGTAACGGCATCACCCTCTTCTTTGGCCGCGAACGCAGCCTGCGCTGTGCCCATGACCGCCGGCGACAGCGGCGGGTTGGGTGTCGGGCAGAGGTCTGGCGTGGACTGAGCCTCGGTGGACAGCGCCTGGATCTGGGGCGAGCTGGTCCTGGACGGGGTCATCTGCAGCTGGTGCAAGTTATGGAAATTATTGCTAGGCTGGGACTCGCCGCGTGAGTGGCCATGAGCACCGCTGGATCCTGATAGGGGTGTGGTGGGCTGCACAGGCAGTTCCGAGTCATACACAAGCAAGTCTCTGAATTGCCGCATCTGCATGGTTGTGGTGGCGTTGTTGGGCGTCTGATTTGGGGTGGGAATCGGTACGGTCTCCCGGGATGGGCCCGTTTGTGGGATCCGCGAAGGAGCGGGGGTTTGGTTCTGTACGACATATTTCGGGACGGGCACCAATTAGGACGCAGTAGACATCATGTTCGAGGATGGGAATGCATCACAGCCGTCCATGAAGGTCATATAGGACACGGCATTCGAGTTGGACGTTGTGGTGGGTGACTCAGCCTAGTCATCACTGGTAGTCAGAGCACTGTTCAAGGCGCCTGAGGGGGAAGTGGAGCGCAGATTGGGACAGGCTCATGCTCATTATGTGTGAGACACGGTCAGTGGAGGCATGCGGCGTCATGCTTACATGCCTGCTTGCAACTGCAAGCAAGTCTGCCTCTCTGGATTTTGAACATCGTCGTCAAGCTAGCTCTTTTTGTCAATCGTTCAGATCGTCTGAGTTCAGCAGAGATGCCTTCCTCACGCGACAGATTGCGTTCCGTTGATCACGCATCATAGGAGCCACTTCCTGTAACAGCGTCACTAATCATCGAAGCAATATCTCGGTCATCCTCGGTCCTGAAATGGTCCGAACATCATCATCCAAGGCTGCCAACACCCTTGCCGGAGCCTTGCACCCATGGGGCAAATTTAAAGCCCCTGTACAGCCGCGATGGTCCAGAAGCGAAGTGTGAAAGCACCTGAAGGCGCCGAGGTTCGACGATCGACTAACCGATTGATGTGTGAGGTTGCGGATCAAGGGCAAAAACGCCCCATCTCAACTGCAATGAGGAAAACCGAGCCGAAACGAGGCCGGGCGGAGGAAGGCACTCGAGTCATCGTGGGCCACATCACGGTTTCTGTAAAAGCACGATTACAAGGCGCCAGTATCCGCCTCCTGGCGCTCTTTACCGTGGGCCATATCACGGTTTCTCTAATGCAGGGTTACCATGCGCCAGTGCCTGCCTCCCGTTACCTCATGCCTCCCGGCGCACTTTACCGTGGGCCACATCACGGTATCTGTAAATGCACGGATACCATGCGCCAGTGCCTGCCTCCCGTTACCTCATGCCTCCCGGCGCACTTTACCGTGGGCCACATCACGGTATCTGTAAATGCACGGATACCATGCGCCAGTGCCTGCCTCCCGTTACCTCATGCCTCCCGGCGCACTTTACCGTGGGCCACATCACGGTTTTTGGAAAAGCATGATCACCATGCGCCAGAATCCGCCTTCTGGCTCTTTTTACCGTGGGCCGCATCACGGTTTCTTGGAATGAGCTAGGATGGTCAGTAGATCTCTAATCTCTAATGAACTAAGTAGGTGGTCGCCTGTGGTTCTAAATAATCACCTTGGACAGCCGCTTTGATACGGAGAAACTAATTTAAATTCTACTTTTATCCGTGCGCCACTCACTATTTTCTAGAAAGCGTGTATTCTACGCGTCCACACCTCTCACCCGGCTTCTACTTCCGTGGCTTCACGATTTGGCTCTTTAGAAAAAGAAAAATAACGGGCACAGCGAGTGCACACTCTTAATAAATCATAAGCAGGCGCGAGAAGGAAGCAGACATATTACAGCTGTATTCTCTATCGAGGAAGTTCACTTGAGCTCTATCATGGGAGATAATTCAAGGTATAATAGGGGGTCATCCATGAAGCACGGAGAGGGACGCTATACTTAGAAGAAAGCATAGGTCATCAAGGATGTAGATATCAGGGTTGGACGAGCGCCAAGTCAGAATGGCGGGAAGGGAGGTCCCTCAGTTTTGTTATCTGATCTCTTGATCCATATATAATATCCCCGAGTAGTGCATGCACGTCAAGCTACCTCGAGATCTCGATCCGTTACTAGCTTCGGGGTCGGATAATATGAATTCTGGAGCGTTAGTGGACTTCCCACCAGGTAGCATTGGCGACGTACTAGCTGAGAGTTAAGAAAGGCCCAAAATCCCGAAGCATCCGCCGAAAGAATGTATACTTGGCCCGTCTCACGGAGACGGATGCCCAGGCAGACATCTGCATCACACATCTTGCTGTATTCGCATGCCTTTGTCATCAGAGTTGATTTACGACGACACTGTTTCTGACGCTTTGCTTTCTTGCTCGGAACAAGTCGACTCGGTCGGGTGTGTGGTGCAACAGCCATTTCTAAGTAGCCACTTCCACGAATAAAAAGATGGCTCAAGCGTCACTTTTAGACAAGTGAGGGAGAGAGGAAATAAAAGAAGGGTGCTAACTAGCTAAGTAGTCTCAATTTTGCTGCCCATCAGCAGTTTTCTATACTTGCACCAAGTCACGGTTTCGCTAACCATGCTCAAAGGTGAGGGTAAAACACTTCGGTAGAAAATACTAAGCGGCAGGTTAAACCGCTTAGCCAGACTGGTATATTAAAGCCTCGCGATGCGAATCGGTCAATTCGCGATAGAAAGGCAAAAGATGCGGCCGCGGAGGAGAGGAAGCTAGCTAAGCAGTTTGAAAAGGTGTATGGCTATAAACCTACACAGAGGTCGAAAGAGAGTATTGAACAGGCAATGGCCAATGAGATAGAAGCCAGAGAGAGGGGAGAGCCTTTTTTTGTTGATAAATAGCTAATTGGGTGGTTAATTCGAAGATTTCTTAGAAAAGAGACGAGGAATTGAAATAGACGAGGATTAGGGGCGCACCCAAAGCGGGTAGCGGTTTGGGTGGGCAGAAAGGCACGGATACTCCGTACATCATGTGGACACAGAGGTCTGTGCGCACTTGCAATAACCTCTACACGTTGGTTTTCGGGGATCCAACAAGACAAGTTCCTTGTGAGCGTTTATTCTATTTTCCTCCTATTTAGTTCTATTTCTACCGCAAGCTCATTTTATTACACGGCATTTCAACACAGGATTTTTCAGCAGGTTTAGTCATGCCCCTGGAAGCTAATCACTAGCTAGATGGAGGGACTGAATTTGTTTCAAGAAGGATTTGTACTGAATTTTAGCTTACGAAGCCCCGCATCAATTCAAATTGTCTGAAGAGATACTGTAGCCTATTCTGTATTAGCAAGTTAGAAAGTCTTCGCGCCGTCTAGAGGCTCTTTCCGGTACTGAACTGGCGTTGGATAGTAGGGGCCTTATTCAAAATCCGGAATCAGCACGCTTTCAGCGCATACAAGTTGAGGACGAAGAAAGGACCAAAAATTTCCTGATCTCTCCTGTGTTTGCCGCGGGGTAGATCGCTGTGGAATCCCCTGACACCCTTTTGGTTGTCCGCATTTTAGTAAAAAATACCATTCCAGTTACCGATGTGGATATCTGCCCGCTTCATCCATATGAATACGAGGCGGCGTATTTCCACAACCGACACGGCAAGCCAACAAGCGGTTAGCAGAATTGACGGCGCTGCCCTAACCTAGGCGAAATTGAAGAATTTCACTCCCGCCTTCACACTCAGGCCCACTGCCAAACCAAGATGGTTGATCAAGTCTGTAGACATCAAACCTATCTATCTTCTAAACTACAACGTATGGTGCCACGTCACTCGAGCTCAGCTGGCTAGACAGCGCCCCTCAGGGGTCGGGCCCAGGGACCCCACCATGGCGTCGTTCGTTCATACTCCACACTCCTCCCTACACAGCAACTGCAGTCACCCAAACCACCTACAAAACGGCTAAGAACAACGATTCCTGGCAGCGTAAGATGGTTGTTCATATGATCTGCAGCAATAACAGACTCACTACGTCGCAAATGGCAAAGGTGGCAAAGTAGTGAGCGTTCTATCACTAACATACGCAAGAATTTGCGGCTATTCGGTAGTGCCATATCTCTCCCAGTCTCGCTCGTTTCTCAGGTTCCGCGCGCAAATCCAATATCCTCTCTCTGGATAATCAAAAGCGATCTTCCCCATCCTCCCCATTAGAAACAGGCACCGGGCCACCCGTCCACGCCCATAAGTCACGCAGTTCAAGCTCGAGCGAGCCCTCCAGCGCATCGACAACCTTATCGCCAATCACCGGGAAAAACTTGGATACGTGTTCGCTGCAGCCAATAGCAAGGAAGAGGCCTTCGTAGGCGGGGTGGTAGGATACGGTGAAGTCGGCTTTTGGACTGCGCGATGGTATTAGTGAGCCAATCATTGCGTATGCCATTTATTTCCCCCAGCAATACTCTGGCAGACTCACCTCTCCGCCCGCCGACTCACGTTCAGAGAGGAGAACGACCGATCAGCGAACTGCGGCAGTAGTTGCTTTAGTACCGTACGGAAGGCATCTGTTGCTAAGATAGGGACGACGTTGCCCGGGAAAGTGAAGTCCTCCTCGGAGGCGTTCACCGGAGTCTCGTGGCGGTATATATAGGTACAGCGCGCGATCTTCAGGCAATTATCTCTCGGCGGCAGGACGCAAATCCCCGTGTGTATGTTGTGGATGGTCGGTAGGTTTTCCAGCTCCCGCTGCTCTTCGTCGGAGACGCGCATGAACGCTGTTGCCCGGGATGTGAGGACGGTCCCGTCGCGCAGACTAACCAATCCAGTCCAGGTCTTCGAGCCTGTAGCGAGAATGACTAGGTCCGCGTGGATAGATAGGCCCCCGTAGAGCGCGACGCCTGTGGCCCGGGGCTTAGAGCCTGGTCTGTCGTCCGGTGAATCGTATAGCACGCGGTTGGCGTAACCGGTGTGAAACACGACCTTTCCTTCACGGTCCAACTGCTCTTTCACGAAGCGCAAGCTCGCCGTGACGTCCGATAAGCCCGCGCCCCAGTTCACGTACCCGCCCGCGACATCCAGCCTATCACTGTCCGCGGTCGGGAATGCCCTGAGTATATCGGCTTTGGAGGGCAGGAACTCGACGTTATCCCGTCCTACCGGTTTGACATTATCGTAGCTCTTGCGCGCGTATTCCTTGGTGCTGGTGCCGTCGTCCGGATACATAAGCAGCAGCCCGTTCTGCGTGTACCGCCCGTTGCGGCCCCAGTCAGTGTTACGCCAGCGCTCGATGGCGATCGTTGCCAGTTTAGAGTAGGCTACGTTCGCGTAGTCTGCGCGTACGATTCGCGAGTTGTCGACGGGCCACTTGGCCGGGTCCGGAATCGGCCCCCGATCCACCACTGTAATTTGGGATTCGGGGTGCCGCTTGGTCAGGGCCAGTGCGGTGGACACTGTGTGTGGTTAGCGAGTGTGACTTGGCATTATTGTCAATTTGCAATGGTTTGGGTCGAAAGTGCATGTTCCCCGAGGCTCACATCCAAACACCCCTCCTCCCACGATGACGATGTGTGACGGTAGCGCCATTGTGGGACGCGGGACCGAGGAGGACCTTTGGACTTTGTACCAACAAGGTTTTTCTGCGAGACATAAAGGAAAGAAGTCGAGATTTTGCCGAAACTCGCATTCAGGAGCAGGCTACACGGTCAACGGAAAAGGAAAAAGAGGAATCTTTTGAAAAGGGGCCGTTGCTAGGTCTAGTGGATACTGTACTACAGATGCCGTCGATGTGGCAATTAAAGAAAGCCTTGTATCCATACAGCTAGGTACAATATCAGGTATTATTACTATGTATATACAAAATCGGTGTGATTAGGGTTTGAAAGAGTAACTCTATGTTGCCTGATATGGAAGGCAATAACGGTCGCCACTATACTATCCGACCCCAAATTTAGTCACAGAAAAGAACTTGGAACGGGCTGGAAAGAGCGATATGGCACAATCTGAAGATGACGTCACACTCGAGGGCGAGATAACTGCAAAGAATCAGCAAACGGACGGTTAAAAATAGAATTGATCCTCCCAGCCTCTAGTAACTTTTAGGCCAATTCTCGCTGGTCCGACGTCTTCTCTGCCTGAGGCAGTTATAGTTGATCCAATTTCTTTTCCTATCGCTACGTATAGTACCGACATTGGTTCCAAAATCCGATATATTTCCCCTAGGTATTGATATCCGAGTTAAAGTGTGCAATTGATCGCGAAAAACCGTGCTCTTGGTGGTGTGGTTATTTCGGACCCTTAGTTCTTTGAGATCCGTTGCTTATATTCACATTTGAACATACCGCCGCCCTTTTTTATGAGTAGGGTACGGAGTAGATAAATCAATATTCAAAATCTTAAACAACGCCACTGACCCACTAGCTTCATTAAAACACAGTACTGGCAGAATATAAGGAGCTAATATGTATTGGGTAAGTCGGTTTGTTCCAGGCAAAACAGGCAAAAAAGTGAGAATAATTTTGATCAACTTAATAAAAGCCACCAAGAAAGGGGGAAATCCAACCGAGTGCCACAGTTGAGAGAGAGATATTCAATAATTGAACATTGAAAAGTCGAGGCGTTGAGACAGCGTTCAAAAGGCGATTAACCTGCGAACCAAACAGTGCGTGCTGAAGAAAAAAGGCTGGTCAAACTTCGAAAATCAGTAGGAAAGCAGGGCGTTGGTCAAACGAATTCAACATTTCAAATGACAAGGAAAATAGACAAATCTGACCGCAATTAATAAAGTTATAAAATCTTGTGGAAATGGAATTAGTTCACCATTAATGTGGAGGTTCAACGTGTTGGTCGACGTGATGAAAGCGGGCGGTGAAACTATGACCAAACCCTTCAATTCATCAGGCTTTTAAAAGAAGGGCCGTTTAAAAGTGGTGCACAACTTGGTTAAAAGTACTCCGTACAGTAGGACTGAAATCATTGGCTAGCTGACAAGCCCTTCTCCACCCAAAGTCTAATTTCCTAATAGTTTCATGTCCCCCAGGTCTCTGACGATCTGTATAACAACCACAGTCATGAGAGTTCAGTGGTTTAAAAACCACAGTATCCAGTTTTGGCACCTGTGTATATATGAGTGGTCATAGAAGTCATCGTCGCTTCGAGGATGGCCGCGGGGGGGTTTGGGGGTGGGTGTGAAGAGACCCACCATAATAACGCTCTTCGACACAAAGTTCCTGGCGCGTCAAGAGACCCGCGCAACTGCGGCCCAGGGTGATATCGTAACAGTATACAAACCGCAGTTAAGTTAGTTAACCAGGCCCGGAGGATTACATAAGAAATTATGATTTGGCCAATGAGAGGCTACGATTTTGATGGCCCATAACTCATGCCATTTGAAACGATTTGAAACGATTTGCGCTTAAAAATGCGATCTGAATTGTATGCGAATTGAATTGAATTATCATGTGCGGTTAAACCACCCGTCCATCCCCCTGCGATGAGGACGATGCTGTCTAGAGTCAACCATGAAAAATGACTCTTACACAGCTCCACGATAATAATCAGCCCCATGTTCCCGAAAGAGGTATTTTCCAAGGAATCGGCGGCCCTCCAGAAGCTGACTACTGCCGATATCGATCTTAATAATATAAATTGAGTACGCTCCCCCCCCTACACCCTCTCCCAACTCTTTTTGTATTCGTTCTCGCCGAATCACAAGAAAATTGTCGGGCCTGTCGGGCCGCGCGCAATTGACTGATGAATAAATTTGGATTAAAGTTCTTTCTTACAGAAAGAATAGCCAGGCGACTAAATACACGCCGCTTAACTGGTCGATTTGGTCACAGACCGGCCAAAAAGAATAGAGAAAGGTAATGTTCAGATAACCCCCCACGTCCATCGGACTTCAGTCAGTCAAGTCTTTGTGAGTGGGACTCTTGATCTATTCCCTCCTGCTTCGTATCACTGGTTCCTTTACAACCAAGCAGAAGTCATACTGGGGCCGTTCATGAAAACGTTGATCTGCATGGCCTGGAGCTTGCCGTTGTAGTACTGGAGAACCTCGAGCGTATCGCCGGTAGCGTTCATGGGAGAGAGGACGGGCAGAGTTGCCTTAGCCTTCATCTCGGCGAACCACACATCCTGAGCGGCCTGAGCGTCGGTCATCCTGTTGGGGATGAAGGCAGAAACGTTGCCGTTGTAGGGGTAGACCTTGCCGGGAATGATGCCGCTGGTGACGATGAAGCCCAGTTCCTCATCAATAACCAGATTCACACGAGCGTTGTCGTCGGTAGGGTGGCTGTCAGGCCAGTTGCAGCCGAGAGGGTCGGTAGTGCCGTTTCCATACACTCCAGTGTCGACAACCTTCCAGCCCAGCTCAGTGAACTGGCAGTTGTCATCGACAGTAACCACAGTCTCGCTGGAAGTAGCAAACAGAGCCTCGCTCACAGTCTCGAGGGTCTTGCGGCTATTCTTGGTGCGATTAGCCGGGGGCATCATCAGAGTCCGGTAGTTGGGCACAAGCTGAGTAGCGTTGAAGGAGAAGCCGTGGTCGCCACGGTTACGGTTGAGGAACAACTCGAGCTCGGTGATCTTCTGGTCGACAACCGCAATGCGACCACGAAGGATGGTTTGCACATCATCGTTGCCCTCATTGACATCAAGGGCGAAGTACCCAGTACCCTGAGCGGCATCGATAGCCAGCAGGCTAGGGGGGCAACGTTGACGATAGTGCGCCACGAGGTCATCATGCTTAGCGCAGCTGGGTGCGAGTTTTCAGTGGCCTTGTAGACGGTGGCCAATGGCAGAGTCGACGGGTCATGGGCCACCATGGAGTCCAAGACGTCGGTGATGATAGCGGTCATGCAGGCTCGGGAGCAGGAGCTCATGGTAGCCCGAGCGGCATGCGGCAAAGCTGCCCCGCCCACGGCGAACATGGCCATTACGAGGCCCACCGAAAGGTTGAGGAAATCGGAAGGGGGTGAAATGCGCATTTTGAGTTGCTAACTCAACCGAGTCGAGAGACTTGAGGATGTGTGCTGGAAAGGACTGAGGGATGAGATGGTTGCTGATGAGGGAAAGAAACCCAGGGAAGTCCACGCCTTTATATTCTTTTCTAGATGTTAGATGACGCGTGAAACTCACATTATGGAGAACCATTCCATTGCCAAGCTTGATGCTAAACTAGGTATCGTAATTCCCGCCCGACCAGGCCACCCGGCCGTGCCGGACCACCCCAAAACACTATACAAAATAAAATATTTCATGACTTTATATCTCAACACTCAAGGCTTATATATAGTCTTAGGGTATCTAAGTATTATATATATTATATTAGGTTTCTCTAATAAACTCGAGAAATATTTTAGGGCATGAGAATATAGATATATCTAACTATATGGCTCAATAGAAGCGTAATTTTTGGTAACGTATGTAAATAATTAATTTCTGAATATATTAGCTATACTAAGCTAATTTCAATACCATGGAATGATCATATACCAATAATCAAGCCAAAATATCTTCTCGTTGTTGAAATATAAAGTCATGAAATATTTCATTCTGTATGGTGTTTTGGGGTGGCCCGCACGGGCGGGTGGCTCGCTCGGGCGGGAATTACGTTAGATTGTGAGGTGCTTAGTCAAATTCGCCAGCTTCTTTTCGCATTTCCCCATGTTCGGCTCCACTTCAGTTCTCCGGGTCCGGGGTCGTCGCTCGGCCCCACCCCCGCATCAAATTCGAGTCGACGCTTGGCTCTATACACGTTGGTGCAACCAATTGATTTTACGGGGCACAGGAATTTACTGTCCCAGAAAGCAAACACCAACGCAATACAATTCGCGCCCTCTCTATCATGCAGTCTAGCGCAGTCATCAGGATCAATGGAGTACATCCCCCTGTACTGATTCCATCCAAAGACTTTTTCTCATGTAAAAACTTTCCGAGTTGCTAATTTAGAAAATAGCACATACAGCATTGATAGAGGTGTGGTGTAGACTGAGGGATTGTGTTCCAGGCTTCGCCGTCGCCTTGATGCAGATAGGCCATGATCTTGCATACGCCCCTATAGGAGATCCCGTGCTATGTATAATTTTGCTGATATGGTCCTGAAGACCGGAAGTATAGTAGTCGGACTCTGCCGCTAATATTCCAAGGGGCTCTTCGGGAGACTTTGTATTGGCAGGGAACACCTGTCTAGTGCAGAAAAAGGTTCTCGGTCTGGTGCCCCCAGAATATTGAGAGCGCTACAGCAAAATATTCAATACCACGCCTGGGCAATGAAATCCATTGGGAATCAACGGGATGTGGACCTCCAGTGCTTCCCTGGACTGTGCGGACTGTGGGAGAGCCTCGACACAAGCAACAAAAAATGTGTCGCGGTGGCTCCACTGAGCCGTTTAGTAGTTCCTCGTAGGTACCACTTTAGTAATCACAGGCATCCACTTTGATAGTATAGGTATCCGCTTTGGTTGCAGGGGTCCGTTTTGGAAGTCGCAGGGGACCAAGAAAAGTGTCGCAGACGATTCAACCTATAATCAGCCAGTTAGAGTTGAGGATGACTCATCAGTCAAAGCTGATTGGTTAGCTTGTTTCACCTGGGCCAACAGCATTGAGAGAGGTGCCTAGCGTCCGCAGCTCCAATTACTATGCCCTCCTTATCTTCAGCTCAGCTCACCTCCGGCTCACCTTCTGATATTGTGGAGAGAACAGCTAGATTCGCATACCATGCCACTCAGTCATGGAGGCAACATCGTGGTTCGTTGACACTGAGAGATTACGGTGCCACATCGTGGCTTTTGAGGAACCAAAAGGCATAATTTCGCATTTTCGCATTTTGATATTTTCTCATTTGCCCTTTTTCATCCCCAGTGCGTGCTATAAATACGTAGCATTGAACCTGCTGTTCCCTTTTTAACTCGATCGAACTATTTATCTCACAATATGATGGTGGAGGCCCCTCGCGAACTATCGAAGGTTTCTAGTACGAAGAAATCAATTCGACAGCAAAGAGACCGGCGGAAGATGACCGTAGAAAATAAGTTGCAACAGTATAGCAAACGACAAAACTGTGCTCCATCCCAAACCGAGCGCATCGCTTTAAGTATCAGCTATCCGGATTCCCGTCGACAAGATCAGTTTGGCGTCCTCTTCCTCTTTATCGTCTTCGCAAAAACCGTAAATGGCGACAAAGACCAGCCGTGTGAAACAGGAACAGTTGCGCAAACGTCGTAACAACCTTCTTCGACGCCATAACGACTTTTGGCGTCTTTACTCCATCCGGAGCTGGCTAACTATGGAGATGCCGAATGGCCGAATCTACACTTATCATTCCCATCCCGATGTCCCCGTTCCGACAGTGAAAGAGATGGTGAGCTTTTTAGTGGCGTTGAATATCATGAATGATTCTAAGACCTTGCAGAATACTCGCTCTCGACCTGCAGTTCACCGAACTCCCGCGGACTATGTGCCGGAGAAGTCTACGAAGTTAACGATTCCCAAGGCGCCGACCTCTTCCCTTCCGAAGCGTCAGAATGCAGTCTGGGGTTCATTTGCCCGATACATGCAATATACAGAGAAGTGCAAATCCAGCTTCACCAACTTACACTCATTCACTCTTTCTGGGCCCCACCGCCAAGCCGCTAGTTTATAAATTGGGTGCAGTGAAATGGCCCAGTGTACATTACGTCATGACCATGTTGCTTAACCTAATGTAGCTGCGGATTGTGGAGCGCAAATGGCTTGCAATTTTCTGGGGGAAAGAGGACAGATATAAGTCGCTTTCGCGGCTAAAGATATCAGTGGACGGTCTTGAGCTTCTACACGATATGGTATGTTATCTTATACAGTAGACAAATTTTAGATCAATGAAACTCCCTGAGCTGTATAATGGTCAAAGGCTTGCCCCTCAGCATGTATTTCTAATTTGATTCCTCTTCTACCACAATGTTCGCGTGTCGGAAATGACCTTCTGCACTTTCTCTCTTCTCTCCAACGACATCCAAACTCTGCTCAAGAAAATCTTTGAAACCTTGACCTCTGTGATGTTGCCAATTCCGTCTTACGAACGCCTTGAGCTCCGCAAAGAACTCTTCGATCGGGGTAAGATCAGGTGAGGAGGTGGCCAAAGGCTAATGGCAGCGGCATCGATGGGTCTGGTACGGTTCGGGCCGACTATCGAGCCGTCAATCAGTACCAGCCAATGCTGTACCCGCCACGTGTCTTGTGGATTACAGCCCACCCTATGATACCCCTCTTCATCTCCCCAGAAATGCCTACCATATAATCACGATCCCGATATTGTTGCACTCTAGTCGCTAGCTTACCTATTACCGTTGAAATATACGACTTTATGCCGTGTTCTTCCAAATGGATGCTCTATCCTCGGCGGCGAGCGTTATCGCGGTCATTCAACTAACGGGCAGCCTCGTGAAGCTTTGCGGAGGCTACATTCAAGAGGTGAAAGATGAACGAGACGAAATTTTCACCCTACAACGGGCTATTACAGGCCTCCAAGGCACACTGCAAGACCTACTTATATTGCTTCAAAGCAACGACGGAATAGCCCTACCTAGCTCCTCGCGACTTGCCAGCAATATTACCAATTGCCTCTCCGACCTCCAAGCCTTAGAAGCGAAAATTGATCCAGGGAAGGGAAAGAAACTAATGAGGAAAGTCGGATTACGAGCCTTAAAGTGGCCCTTGAAGCGTGCAGAAGTGGAAGGCGCTATTCAGATTCTCGAGCGATATAAAACTTCATTCCTCTTATCTTTACAAGTGGATCAGACGTACGTTTATCGAGCACAACTTTATGACTCTGTATAATTGATTCAAAATCTATGTAGTTCTCTGATTGTCGGCGTGGCCCAGAATACTGATCGCATGAATCAAAATATGGATCTTGCGAAGTTGGAAGGCGCGATGGAGGCAGAGTTTGAATCATTCGCCAATCGAGACGAAGTCCAATGTCTCCAAGGGACTAGGACCGAGCTTCTCCAGCAAATAATGGAATGGGCTATGTCGCCGTCCCAAAAAAGCATTTTCTGGTTAAAAGGAATGGCTGGGACGGGGAAATCCACAATTTCTCGGACTGTGGCAAGGTCGCTCAAGGACGCCAACCATCTAGGCGCCAGCTTCTTCTTCAAGAGGGGGGAAGGGGACCGAGGGAACGCGAAGAAGTTTTTCCCGACATTAATAAGACAACTGATGCTTAGGATCTCCGAGCTGAGGTCTGGCGTGCAAAAGGCACTTGATGATGACCCTGACATTGCGTCAAAATCGCTAAAGGAGCAATTTGAGAAACTACTCCTTCAACCACTGCTTTATCTTGACCAACTCGGTCGACAACCTCAAACCGCTGTGATGGTGATCGACGCTTTGGACGAATGTGAACACGATCAAGATATCCGAAACATACTTCGATTACTGCCTTTTTTGCAGAAGGCAAAAGCGGGTCGTCTCCGGATCTTCTTGACTAGTAGGCCTGAACTCCCAATCAGCGCCGGCTTTGCAGATATCACAGATCATGAATATCAGGACCTAGCTCTTCATGAGATTCCCGAAGAAGTGACAGAACATGACATACACTTATTTCTACAGGACCGATTTACGAAGATCAAACACGACAGATATATTGCGCCCGACTGGCCTGGCGATGACGTCATCCAAGAATTGGTCACGATGTCCGTTCCACTCTTTATTTCGGCTGCCACTGTGTGCCGTTACATCGAAAACGCAAAATGGGAGCCTAAATCGCGACTCGCAGAGCTTCTGAGAGACCAAGCTAAATATGTATCAAGAATGGATAAGACATACCTGCCAATTCTGACGCGACTACTGGACGATCAAGAGACTGATGAGTCGGAGCAGCGGCAGCTCCTGCAAGAGTTCCAGCAAATAGTCGGTGTCATCATCCTTCTTGCTGTTCCGCTTTCCATTAATGCGCTGTCTCCGTTTCTTGGGATAGAAGCAGACCAGATCAGTAATCGATTAGACTCATTCCGATCAGTTCTAAGCATTCCTAGTGACCAAGGACCGCCATGGTGTCTTCGGTTATCTTTTGCCTAACCAGAGAGACTGGTCGGCGTTAATAATGGCAAGTAGATGGCTCATAGTCATAATTATCATGAGCTTGTTTCCTATTGACGGGGCCTCTACAACAGCACTCAACATCATCTGGCTTATGATTTGGGAGAAGAACTTTAAAGAGAATGAGACAATACAGATGATATTGTAGAACTTAGAAAAAGCGAAACCGTGGTTTTAAATGCTCGTCAACATGTTGATGTGCTCGAAGAGGGTCTTGCGATGGGGAACTGGAGACCTAAGAAAGGATGTCGGCGCCAAGGCCGAGGAAATCAAAACAAGAAGGATAGTAGATACGAGTACATAATCACTATTTTAGTCCATTGCATGAGTTCATTACTGTACCAAACATAGGGATCAAGCTGTTCAAGTTGTGTCAGGATACATCGGTCCGGCAGAGGACCAGCAACCGACAGATAGCCCTCCCGAGGGGAGATGGTGGGTCCCGGGGTCATTTTTCCGATGGAGAAGTAGAGATATGAATGGACCAATGATTTACTCAAAGAATACACAAGAAGTGGATACTTAATTGTGTACGAAGTACGTAGCTGAACATACTGTACCGACAGATTTGAACTCTTACGTTGCTTCAAGTTCCCTGAGAGCATGGCTAACTAGGACTTCAACTTCGCGTAGAAGCAACAGGTACACATTAACAAAATGCAAGCATTCTAGCTAATTTACTATTGAGTCTGTTTCATGATTCGACAATGCAGCTGGATTGTGGTGAAACCCTCACTACTTCAAAGCCATCTTCCTGAACAGCTTCACAGATGCTCCGGAGTCAGAATTTCTTGAGTACTTGGTACCGTATGGATTCCTTCGGATTTGGATTCATCTTGAGTCAGCGATCTACTGTTATTCAAGACCGACATTTGTCTAGTTTAAAATATGGGACTACCAATGGGTAAGTGGAGAAAATGTATTTCATGAGGCGCGTGTCCACCCTATCTGTCTTTTCAACCAATTCATATGCCATAGCGGAATTGCTTGATATGCTCGACATCAATATAACACATTTGCAGACAATCAAGATTTGGTTGCAGGAATCCAAGTTACAGTCGGTATCTCTGAGACCGAAAGACAGACCGGATCCAGTGGATTTCATACCTTGAGTATTTGTTAAACCTGGCCAAAGGTCTATGAAGCTATTGCTTCCCGGGGTTCATTTTCAAGTTCTACTCCAAGATCCAATCGTCAAATATTAATACCCAAAGGTAGGTGTTCTATTACACTGAACACTGTGTTACACCAGATACGAAAACCAAATTTTGCAGCCGGACAATATGCTGCTTATATATCCTCCAGATGGCTACCGTTTTAACTGACTCAATACAACGAGTACAATGTATCTACGGAAACCTCTTTCATATACGTTAAGTCTATCGATTTATCTGACCTTGGTAACCTGCCTCAGTGACAACCAGAGAGGTGGCATTTCTCTTTACAACAATTGTTCCTTTCCTTTATATGTTGAAGGGGTAGCAAATACCACATACTTCGATATAGAAATAAAGCCTCAGGGGACATTTTGGGATCGATTTCGCCCTACACATCATGGTACAGGAAACTGTCTCAAGGTATCGACTAGCCGGGGAAGCTCAAAGGTCACCCAGATAGAGTATAGTGCCTGTTTTGGGAATGGAAGCAAAGTCGACTGCCGCTCCGCTAATATGATATATTACGATCTCTCAAAGATTAATGACCCATCCGATGCCGAGTATGGCGTCCGGATTGAACCTAATTTTGCTTGGTGCGCGACGGTCGATTGCCCCATGCATGTATATCGATGTGAATCAACATATTACCAGCCGGATGATAATTATGCAACCAAGGCTTGTGATGTTCATACAAACCTGAAAGTCACATTTTGCTAGTAGTTCGATTGGTCTTGAAGCTCTATCGATGACTCTGCCTCCGAAATTCCCGAAATGTATCAAGAAAATCGGCTCTGGCGGCCCTTCACATAAGTTTTTGCACCATTCCAGCGACGTCGAAAAGGCCGGTATTTCTTCTTTTTAACGATCTAGAAAGACTAGAATAATCAAATAAAATCAAACAGAATGCTTCCCCATATGATGATGTCGATACAGTAGTGGTTTTCGAAAACAGATTCCCCCTTTAGACATACACACTTTTTCCCTAAGGCCCACCAATGGTCTTGGCCTAGATCGTCGAAGTTCACATGGTTCCTTTCAGCCACTCACCCGGCTAGATTCTGCGAACTACTACAACATCCCGTTTCCCCACGCCGAAGGTAAGTGACTCTGATTACAGGAATAAAGTCTTTTCTTTTGGCCAATACGGAGAACAGAGGCTTCGGAAATCTGGCTCCTGCTTACGACAGCCGCTACACCATCGTCATATTGAAAGGCTACTAGCAGTGGAACTACCTGAAGACATTCGCTCGACTGAAATAGCTCATATCGTTGCAGAAGTGTTTGAGGACGTACGGGGACTCATATCTGGATGTGGCGATTTGGACACTTGGAGGAAGAATGTTATAGGATACTGCTCCCACCAGGGTACATGCCCCAAGCCAGTATATCCTAAAACGCCCCTCAAAGAAAGCGTGTTAACCCAGCTCGGCCTCCTGGCGGAGTTCCCCATCATCGCTGACTCGGAAAATGATGACGGCGATCACTTTTTCGGAAGAAGTTATCCCACTTTTGTTAGATTCGACGGGTCGGGATACCAGGTTGTCCATTCAAACAGGTTTATTTGAAGTGGGTAAGCACCATTATGATGACGTGCCTATACTATGAAATTATCTTATCCCCGGGGATGCTGACAACTTCACTTTGGCAGTTTACCACTACTCTAACACCTCACCTTGGATCGCATGGGACATTCGACATCACAAGCCATGAGATTCGACTCCAATGCATACTCTGTTTTGTGGTGCAAAATGATAACCTAGATTGGATCAAGGCGCTTTGGGAAGCTTTAAACGCCAATCGATATTACAACCTTGAGCAAGACATAGAAACTGGGGCACATAGCTACAAATGATTCTCAAAGAGCCGGGGTGCAAATAGCTGGTCACCTTCACATACTGTTTTGTCCCCTGCTCATTTGTGCTTCATGTAATGAAACGCCTTTCTAGTTGTATCCCACGATTATATAAATGCAACAACTTCTTGGAGGCTGATGTCCTACAGCATCTTGCTGGCTTCAAATTCCACTCGAGCTTTCCGTGCAGCTGTGCAAAAGTCGAAGACCTATGCTGTGGTCGCAATAAAGTTTTAGGTGTCTTTAAACCTGCCGAGTCTTCAGTCCCCCGGGACTAAAGACGCCTGAGGACTACAGTAGATGTCGAAAGCAGATTACCCCATAGACACTCAGGCCTTCTTTCTCAGTCCCAGCTTCGATCGCCTTAAACCGAATTCGGTCGGGGCTTGTCCCAACCAACTTTGCGGATGTACTTCTGGCACACTCTAATGAAGAGTGACTGTACTGTTTTCAAGCCACTATCTGCAGCTAATCTGAATATTCAGTAGCGCGTCTTAGGTTAGGGTTGGAGAATTTTGTGAGTGGACGAAAGGGAATCTGGTACCAGGCACTAAGTTATATTACTTCAACTTCTGCCAGAGACTATCATGTAAACACGCACGAGCTCTGGTAGACCTGTTCGTTTACGGAGCACCTCACAACTTCTCATCTTACTTTCCTCCCCTCGGCTATTCTCTGCCTGACAAAATTATCGTGATCAGAGGTGCCATTTTTCGCCACCAGAGGAGGGCCTCTGCTCATGTCCGATAACTCCTCTAACCACGGGTAGGTAGATATTAGCTGTGGACTGCGAGAAAGGGAAATGATACAGCCGAAAGTACTACCTGGTGGCCGCGAAGCAGAAGGTATGTTGCGGTGATCGTCGGTTCTTTCGTGTGGCCCGCTTGGGATCTCATCGCCTGTCCAACCAGAGGCTTGCTCCAGGCTCAGGTTGACTAAGCGCAGATCTTCGCTGATGTTTGGTCGCGTCACGTGGTCCACTTCCATTTGGATGAATTCGCCCGCACATACTGCAAAAGCATCAGTGATCGAATGCAAAAAAGGGCGGAGAGGAATGCAGAAGAAAAGTCAGCCTCATGTTTATTGGAACAATATCATTCACGGCGACATCTGTGCCAGGGCACCCTACCAGCGATTATCATCTTCCCACATTGGCTATCAATGTACCCCTCGACCTCCCTCGCTGCGATGAGGTCTTCGAATAGAGACTGAATACGCCTTGATTGCGGAAATCGCCCGTGGGACTCCTGAGGAGCATCTGGACAGTAGATCCGCATTTGTAAAATCTGCGAGTTGTTAGCGGCACGACCACTCAGAAAGCGATGCCCGCTTACGTCAAACCCTCCGGTCTCATCAAGCCCCGTTTGCTGCTGACCCATGCTCGCTGAACTAACCGAGGCTTGCGTATCCCCAGAGTTCAGGGCAGGATTCCGCTGTCGGTCGAGTTCAAAAAGATGCTGGATGCTGTCCCAGACCCACGACTTATATCTGGACCGCTCAAAGATCCCTGGGACATGATTAGCCGAAACAGATGCTTCAACCATTCTGGGCTCGACAAGAAGCTCCAGTTCAACGATACTGCTCCAATCCACCGCCCACAGAATCTCCAGCTTCCGCACCACTGTCTCTCTCCTGCGACTGCCATGAACCAGCTGTTGAATGAAGGGCAGAATTCGAAACAGGCCGATATCTTCAACCACAAACAAGACCGTGCCGTAGTTTCCAAAGCAGGGCGGGTGTCCAAAGGGTCCGAACATGAAGACCGGGAAGCTAAAATTGGCCTTCACCGCCTGTAAAGCGAGTCTCTTGGTGAGACCTCGGCGGTAGTGCACGAGAAAGTGTAGACGGCGGTTGGAAGTGTGAGAGCCAATATTTTGCTGTTGCTCTTCCTCTTCTCCCACATACGCCACATAGAAAAGCGGCAGATGGAGCCAAGAGCGATACCCCGATCGCGGCATCCACAGTTGTACATGCTGACCGGCCTGGATATTCCACTGTCGGGGTGCCGAGATCTCGAGCCAGAGGAGTTGTTTGGATACTCTTGCCTCAGCTTGGAGCCGGACGTCTTTCCAGGACCGAAGCGCGCTCATTGTTTGTGCCCACAAAGCCCCACATGACATGGCCCACTGGCCCGCCGCGCTGACCAACACCCAGAAGTAGACTGATCCAGCAATTCGCAGATGGTATGCGAGGAACGCTGTGCCGCAGATTGCCAACAGATAGTGAAGTTTGAGCATAAGCTGAGGATGGCGTCGCAGCATTACGGCAAGTGTAATTGGTAGCATTGCAAGAAAGCTAATCACTGCCTATATTCCATAAGCTTCTTGAATGTGGCGCCTAACGGAAAACGATGAACAAAGAGATTTAAATAATTACCCCGAATGCGGTCAAAAGAGGACCTGATAATGGTGTCGACCGTTGGGCGAGTTCTACTATCATGGTGCCGTGGAGGGCGCAGTGGACAAGACATACCCGACCCACCCAGCGGTGGACCCACGCCAGGGTATCCCGGCTCAAGCGACAGAGACTGGATATCTGGCTGAACGTGGGCCCGGCAAATAGTGGAAACAAGTAGATGACGGCCATTGAGCCAGCCCTCTTCTGCACTTCGGCAAAAGAGTGAGCGGCAAAGACCAAAACAACGACATTCGATGCCAAGAGGCCAGTCAGTAGGAGACAATGTACATATGACAGGATATCTAGACGATATAGGATGCTGGGCACTGGGGACTGAAGGAATCGCCTCCAAGAGACCGCACGTTGCAACTTCAGGGACCAAGCTAGACAATCCCGTCCAATGCGATAAAGCAGACAAGCCAAAAGGATCAGAGCAACACAGAGACCATACTTTCCAGGGAGGGAGACCCTTGAGAGCCAGTGAGCGAGTTTAACGGAAACTGGGGCCATAGTGTGGTCGCACGAAGGTATTGCCGGAAGAGAAGGATGTTGATGCTTTCGATGCTTTTATATGAGGCCTTCGTTTGTTTCGGTTTCGAGTCAAAGCCAAGCTTGCTCGTGACACTCCGCTCCGCTCTCTGGGGCTGCTAGAAATCTCTATCGGCGAAGACTGCGCGTGATGCATTTACAACTGAAATCGGGTAAAGAGACGTGCCATGATAAGCCCACCAAGTCTATCAGCCTTCGAAGCCTCATGAAACAGCCGCATGTGGAATAGAATCATGAAGCCAACCAACTGCGGTGGAATGATCCATGATATTTGGGTAATTGTCATCTTCACTTCCACATGCCAACGGCAATTCACTCCGACCGGCAATCCTTCTGAAAGAAATACACACCACAGAGTTTCGGGGACGAATCAGTGCATGCAAACTCGCGATCATTCTATCTTGTCATGAGTGAGGTCATGCGAAATATTTTACGAAGTGTGTCAAATGTTGGGTTGCACAGAATATGTTTGGAAGATAATTTGTAGAAAGAACATTTGACCGGTGATGGTTTACGCTAACCCACCATTTACAGACAGGCTATATACTATTTTCTGTAGAGCTAGATCCATGAATTTCGGGACCGTTGGATACGAATAACCCTCCACTCTCGCTTCCAATTTTGTTCTGCCTCAAGCTCTCGCCGTTTAGATTCGTCCAGCGAGGCCTTCAAAGCTTGGATTGCTTGCAGCAGGCGGATGTTGCCCACTGGATTCACCTCAGGCTCAAAGTGATATTGCAGTATGAGCTGTTGGGAGACCTCCAATGCTGCCTTTGACAGACTGAGAAAATTTTCTCGGCAAGAAGCGTAAAATTCGTTTTCATGCCATTGCTGTTCCCACTGGCGAAGCTTACTGTCTCGAAGCTCGGGTAACGACATTCTGTGTCTGCTCTTGGACCGCTGCAACCGAGATCGCGTAGTTTCTAAGGCCATACTGGTCCCGTGAGACATTGCAAGTTGGTGATCAAGGGTGTTGATCTCAGGAAGGTTGAACTTGAAAGGAGGTATCACTTCCTCTAGTGATGGCAGTTTCGGCGATTCAGGCGACCGGCTATAGACACTGGAAGCATCATCCTTCGATACGAAGGGATCGGACATGTTGACAGGAACGTGTGAGCTGTGAAATCGGCTGTGATGACTCTTCTTACTGGAAATTATATATGACAAATTCATTCGTGCGCAACTGTAGGAATGGCCACCTTATTGTGAATGCCATGGTTATTTTTCAGGAGACCATCATCCAGTTAACTTGCTTCTAATCACCTTGCCTCATAGAGGTCGCATAATGATCCGCTGACAGTCATGCTTGAACGTTCAGAAAACTTACGGTCTGTCTTGGTTTGGGCAAAACTGTGCTGGGAAGCGAACTGAGTTTAAATTTCAACATGTAAATAATTCATGCATTGTACGACTACAGCAATGGCACAAGACTCACTCGAACCCCAACAAATCTATTATGTTCCTGACAACACCGAGCCCCTCAAGAACCGTTACTAGCGCAAACATATTCGTTCTAGATATCCGACTAACATCCGACAAACCATCCGATAGAAGAAGCAGTGGAAGTGGAAACTCAGATAGCGTATCCTCGGTATAGAGAATGTGTAAAGATGGAAGGTCCCATGCAGAGATTCCGTCCAAAATGTACAGATGACCGTAGCTTAACTTGGTGGTGTGAGGATTGAGTGTAGTCATTGAACCATTTAGATATACAACATCATTCGTAAACGGTATCTTATAATTACTATCTCTTATGAAATGCTGGAACGGGCACACTAAAATGCGGTGTCTTTACTAGGTCAGTTTTCGGAGGCCAGACTTGCCCTGGTAAGACAATTCGAACGGAGTTTCCACAACGACTCACGAAGACTCACAACCGCCTCCTCTTTTCCCCAAGGGGGGTTTCGGCGAATGCGATCCGCCTCTTGGTTCCACGGCGACAGAAGCATTGTCTTGTAGGCGGCCAGGCATCAGTCCGGTGATCTGAACGGCCAAAGGAACTCTGCACTTGTTGCTCATCCAAGAGCTTTTGAACGGATTTAGGAAAGCCTCCCAGTCGCGTCTGAGACTCGGTATTTCCAACTTGGATTGTGAGGGTTTCCTCGAGACTAGTGACCGTGAATGATACTTTCTTGCGATAGTATCCACAGTCATGACAGCCATTGTCCTCTCCAATTGAACCCAGAGGCCCTTGACGGTCAATCTGGAACTCTGCGCCCGGGATTTCAGCAAGAATCCGACCGATCATCTTCCGAGGTTCTGTGCTCCTGCAGAGGATTGAACCATCACAGAAGATCATCCCCTGTTTCACCGTTGGACATCCATCAAGTTCGAAGAATAATGTCCCTGTCACCAAGACGGCCCGAACTAACTCATCTGACACACTGAATGATGACTCAGCCAACTCATCCAACTTTTCCACGTCGTCCAACCACGGAAGCGGTCCGTGGAGCAATTGATTCACACGGTAGATGTCCGCCCGCATGTGGCTGGAAACATAGTTCAGCGCCTCGAGAAAGGCCTGCTCACCGTCCATGGAGGGGGACGATACGGTGGCTCGAATCAAGCGAGCAACGGCCCCGTCCTGCAAGATCCCACCTGGCCCCTTGTGGCGGGGCTGTTGGTCCGGCGCTGTATACCCCGTGCCCACTGAAACCAGCAGATCGGGCTTGTTTCGACCAGGCCAGATAAGAGTGGACTCTTTCAGGGCGATCGACAGCGGGTTGTTCGCTCGTACTCCTCCGTCTTGCAGCGGGCCGAACCCAGGGAGGTTTTTAGTTCGGAAAAACCTAGATGTATCAGCGTTGTCCGCAACTGGTCCGTTTTGCTCTTACCCTGGTGCAGCCACGCTACATCGTGCACTAGAAGACAGTCAGATTGATTCTACCCATGATAATGGCCTCACAGAAATAGAGGTGATCACGTACACTTCCCACAATAATGGATTTTCATCTTGGCTTCGAGGAATCAAGAATTCGTACGCCGACATCCCCGTATGCCGACCAATGCCACGGTAGTTGGCCACCAGGCAGGCTTTTCCGTCCGAGATTCGGCTGGCAATGATCGCTACCCGACTCCTGGTGCCGCATGTTGTTTCGACGTCAAAAATTCTGCGATCCGGCCCTAACGCAGCCTTCAGGGTTTCATCTAGCATATGATCATCATACTTCCCATCCAGGAGAAGACGCTTCAAACCAGAGATCCAGACTAGGCATTTGAGAGCTTGAACCGGCTTTGCTGGCTGCTGGAAAATCTTTCGTGCGAGGTCGGGGAATCGGCGGAAACTGCTGTCTGCGGTAGAATGGTTGAAGACCAAGTCCATGATATTCAAAGCCCCTAGGGAGAGTGTCAGGAAAACGCGACTCAAGGCCAGCTCAGCAACAGCGAGGCAAACTGAAACTTCGAACATACCCACACTGGTGCCTACGCACAAGTCAAATACTCCTGTCAGAAGATTCCCACCCGACCGTTTCTCTAAAGACCGAAGCAAACCTAGCTGCTCAATTCCACGAATGCCGCCGCCGTCGAGGCTCAATATATTCGGCCCTTTCGTTGGTGGCACCTGTCGCACTGCCAGATGAGCCTCGGCTCCGCACATCGGGCACTGTATGACCTCGAAGTAGTGCTCCGCGGCTGAGCTTTTGGACCCAAGTATTACCACGCAGTTGTCGCATATCGCATGTCGACAAGCCAACATATGTTCCGGTGCCCGGGTCAGGCAGAAGAAGCAACTGGTGGAGGAGTACAAGCCTCCCCACCGTCGGTGAAATCTGCTTAGGACGCGTCGTCGAACAGCCGCAGATGGGGTTACTGGATCGGTTGATTTGAAAAGATCCGTGAAGCTAGCCAGCACTCCATCGCAAAACTCGGACGGGCTCACACCAATACTCTGCGTGGTCCACGCAGCTGTACAGTCACTTTCGTACAGCGCATCAAAGACGTGGTTTGGATTGAAAGCTGAGATTGTCAGCCAAGAAAGCCAGAAAGCTAGAGACATGCCGGCCATGGGATGGGCGAGGTAGGGTCGACAAGTAAGGGAATGGGCAGACTCACAATGCATCCCTGGCGGATAGGCGTCCATCAAAATGGCCGAAGCGACAAACGTATTAACATCCTCAGCCTCGCAACCGATTTTCTGAGCTTGCCTCAAGAACTCCACAATGCATGACTTTCTACTCAGCGGTGATAGATAATTCTTTCGCGCTACGCGGAGACAATCAAACGCTGCAGTGTCTAGTCTTCGCATCTTGGTTTCCAAGTTGCTTTTCCAGAGTGCACAAAGATGAGTAGCAGAGAACAGCACTCCATCCTGTGTCTGTTCAATCCGAACTGACTGAAGTTTGTCAAGAATAATGCCGCGCAATGGCTCAAAGGCAGCCATGGGGGACAATTCGGACCGATCTCGTAGATCTACAAATGTGACTTCAGGAGCAAGCACGTCACCGGAATGGTCCTGCGGCACTGCCGCGGCCAGCTCGTGTGGAGCATAGTTTTGAGAAGTGGTGAGAACGATGAGAATTCTCAAGCGAACGGTAACTGAATGGGACCCCACCTGTATCTTGTGAGGGGGCTGATCAAGCAGCCGCTGAAGCTCTTGCATTTCAGACACACTATCTACGAAAAGGCAGAGGATTTGCGTCCAGGGCAAGATAACCTGTGAGATTATATGTAGGTTCACGTCTGCCGCCGAACCGCTTGTCCGTTGGGACACTGAGTATTGCCGAAATCTATGATCGGAATTCCTGTACAGTGCTGGGTCCGCACAGCCGGAGCTATTATAGGCACCACATTCGGCGAAGAGCACCGGATGGTCCTTTCCAGCAGTTTCCGTGCTCAAGTGTAGCCGCATGAGAGCAGCGGGGCCTCTGCGAGTGACATTGTTATGAGGAAAGAGGGCCCGAAGCGCCCTGACCCGATTTCCGTTTCCAGCGAAACAAACCAAGCAGGGATACTGAGTATCGGGATGGGTCATCCACTGCACCAGTGCTTCCAGCCGACCAGTATCCGTCAGGGCCCAGCCCGAGTTCCCTCTGGCGGTGTCGAGCCAGGCTGCCATTGAGTAGGAGTGGTAGGGAAGGAGCTTCCGTAAAAAAGTCACGGCGAAGGCATGAGACAGGGTGCACTTTATACTACATCTTAAATGACTGTTCTCTGGCCTGGAGTTTACCTCGTTGGAGAACACTCCAAAGTGACTGTTCTCCCGCAGCTTTTGTGACGCTGCAGTCGACAATGGGTAAGTCATAAACCGCCCCCATAAGGAATTGATAATAAACCTTAAGAATTTGACAGACTGGGAATATATATCACCGGGCCAGACGACAGCCGCCAACAGCCCATCTGCCCGCCCTCACTTCTGGGCTACGGTCTTGATCGCCCTCGGATGCCGACCTCTGAAAAGTACGTCTATTGATCCGCTTTGCGACGATGCAAATTCTCAATTAAAACGTCTTATTCCCAGTTGTGGGTTTGAAGGACCTTGGTCGGTAGTATTAAAACCCTTCAACTCTTGAATTCCGTATAGTAGTCCACATCATGGCTACTCAGACTATCCGCTCTCATAGCAGTGGGCAGCACATTCGCGCAAGCACTGTCCACCGTCGCACAAGCAAAGGGAACGAGTACACGAAAATGCTGAGAGAAGAAGCACAGATGGATTGGAGGTTCAACCTTTCCGCCAACGCAGCCAATTGGGTGCTGCTTGCGGGATATGTGATCATCCCGGGCACGTTCACGTCTTTGAAAAAGTCGAACGAAGTCCAAGATGTACTCCAAAAGAATGGGGCAGGTCGGGCGGCGCTGAAGACGATTCAGAACCCTCCCCTCCTTGTCATTGCGTTTCTCTTCCTCATTACTGGGGGTGCCATGTTGGGCTGGCTCTGGGTCAAGTTCAAAGACAATTATCCCTGGCTCATCAACAAAATCTTTCTGTAAGGTCCCTGCGCAGAAGCCCGTTTTCCAGAACTGAGAAAAATTCACAGTCCAGCTTGCCTTAACGCGACTGCAGGGTTGCTGACGACAGCCGTCAATATTTTGGCTTCACAATCCGGAACCTGCTCTGTCATGGCTCTGACGACGATTATTGTGACAGCAGTGACATTTGTGCTGTTCGGCGTCTCGTTAATCGTCTACAAATTTTTCAAACTGAAACGGGTTTTGAACGATGATCAGCTCGAGGTCCAGGCTGCCCTGAGGAATCGAGGGCATCCTAGCCTGCGATCGGCTTTAGACCAGGCCGAGGCTATTTTGGATGGTCATCGATTAGTAGCTCTGCAAAAAACAGTTACAGAAGCTCTCGCTCTTTCTGCGATCTTAGATCAATGGGACACCCATAGGGCCGACGTTATCGAAAGCAAAGTCAACCAATTGTGTCAATATCTTACCGAACTTTGCCTGGCACATGTGAATGACAGTTCTTTGGACCAAAACAATCTACAGGGTAGATCAGGGCCCCTTGTGTGATTTTCCTGCACACGGCCCGCATTTCTACTGTACGGCACCATATTGTCTACAATTCAAGCCGATACAGCTAAATTCGAAATTGCCTTCCACATTTTACACAGAGAAACTATCTGGGACCCTAGCACTAGGGCAATAACGGATCCAGCTATACTGCTTCGACCTATGATATGGATCGAACCCCGGACTGTCTAGCCGAAATTGGAATGCCATGTCTTGGCTCAGGGTTCTAGAACAAATTTCTATGTGGAGAACATGGAAGGCAATTTCGAATTTACCTGTAGCACTGTACTCTTCCGATAGAGAAATCAGTTCTCGATCGCGTCTTCTGCTGTGTGGATACAGAGTTGTTGAATATTACTCATCGACACCCTCTTTCAGAGGATGCGCTATCGGCTGTCTTCATGCAAACACCTAGTATGCAAATCAGTAGTCTATTTAATTGACAATCTAGTTTTCAGAGACATAAATAACAATGAAAATGGCTAAAGTTACCAGAGATAGCTCACCCTAAAGCCAGGTGGCCGTTCGGAAACTGCGTCAAATAGTGGGGATAGCCCAACAGACCCACGTAGCGCTCACCTGGGTTCCCAGTCGCTTTTCCAAGGTGGCGAAGCAACGTAAGGGAGAGCCAGTAGAAATCCTCCCTTCAGTTACAAACGATCTCCCGGTCACCATCTGTGCGCGTGAGAGTACGGCGGCATTTGATCAACGTGAACAATTTTTGGCTGAATTTCCGCTCCCATCGGAGGGACTCAGCTTCTATTGATCGCACTGGATACTGCTATCCTCATTCCATCATAACCGCTGCAGCCTGCTAGTGCACTGCAGGCACAATTTTTGATGATAGCATTACAGCGCTATATACAAGAACCAGATGCATGATGTATAAACTGGGTTGCCATCCATTGAAGTGGCCCATTCTCTCAAGGGGCCGGACGAAATACTGCATGACCCCAAGACCATTATAAGCGGCAACACGAGCAACTTCCCAAGTCAGCGGCACGGGCTGACCGAGAGGCCCCGCAAAGCTATGGATCATCGGTACCAGGGCGAGCAAGCCCAGGGAGGCGCAGTGATATTGAAACTTGAGACTCGTCACGGGAGTGCCCGAAGGATGTGCCAGGACTTCGACCAAGTGTCCCACAAAAAGCAAAGAGATAGCGCAAATGTATCCAAGCTGCGCCACAGGGCGAACGGCGAACTGAAGAGCGACGTAGGAGACGGTGGTTGTATAAATCAACAACAGAATCCCTCCGAACTCCAGCTTCTCCCACTCACACGCATTTGCGGTACCGAGGACGAGAAGGACACGGTAGGCGAGACTCAGGAAACACCAAGAGATGACACCAACGCCGAAAAGAAGTGTCGCGAGCGAGTTACTGATATCCGCATGGGACTCAGGGAAACGAAAGAGAAGGCATTGAAGTGTAAACAAGGCAAAGTAGGAGATCCCAAAAATATCGAGAATCACGATGACCGCGGAGTCTCGTAGAGTAAGAATAGTGGGACCATCCATTGAAAAGGTTACTTGTTCATACAGCCGTCAGGCGATTGAGAAGAGATTTGGCTTAGCGTTGGAGTCTGGGCCGTAACCTCTTTTTATAAGGGCAACCAGGCGGAAGTGCAATACAATTCGGACTCCTGTGTAGAGTGAATGCAGGGACAACGTTCATTCCGAGGTTACAGGAGTGTTTCCGCGGTTTCTTTGCTGACCCTACCTGCTGTTATCTTCCATTTCGTTGTTCTGCGGGCAAGGCTGGCTATTGGTTGTATCTGATTCGCAGAATTACTGTCATCTTCGTGACTGTCTTTTCTCTTCCATCGTTCAACATTGGTATCCTTCAGACTGCAAAGTCGCCACATGATCGTTCAACACGCGAATCTACGCGCGAGGGAAGGTATAAATAAATTCGCATTCTGGGGTTGCACTCAATGAACTCTATACACACTCCGTATCCAAATTCTGTAACCTTTCATCCGCCGGTTGGGCTCCACAGGACCCTAACTGAACAAATGGAGAAAGCAAATTTGAGGCACTGGTCAGAACAACTTGTAACTGGGCTAATCAGCGTCGGGGTAAAAAAGATAAAGTTAGACGCACTTACCCCCACAGGTAACAACCGACGATTGAACACATAAGCTAGTACGGTGATCAGACAACTGGTCGAAGCTATGCCAGAGAGAAACCATGCCATACGCTTCAGTGTTAAACGCAACTGGAGACCGGGGATCGTGTATCGCACTAGCCACCAGTGGAACAAAGCGATGCGCAGATAGTCAAATGAGATGAACACAATGAACAGGCGTTGGGTTGGTGAGTTCGTCAGACTCCCAATAAGGCAGAAAACCAGCTTTGTTACTGTTGAGGTGCCAGCAAGAATGAAGCAGAATATCCTTAATCCGTGAGGTTGGAAGGTAGGATGTCGTAGGTGGACGTATATTTGAACAAACTGTGACAAGATCAGACCTCTCGCGAAATCTTATTTGATCTTTGGGTGAAGAACACCATACCCCCGGTATGGAGACAACGACGCCAACTGTAGCAAGGAGGATTGCTATAGCAGGTGTGTTAACCTCTATCAATATGAGGGCCGACTGGATCGCCAGCAATGCGCATGCCGAAATAGACAGTGAGAAGCTTAGTCGAGGAATGAGATTGGGTGAGTTGACAGTAGGGCAGAGAAAGATGCAGTGGAGAAGATGTAAGAGGAACGAGAGGATTGTCCAAATTACTCCAAACGGCTTCAGAATAACCATGTTCAAAGTGCAAAACTCAATAATCACGCTCCGTAGACATCTACTTATGTCGCAGCTAGAGTAAAAGTAAATAAATGCGCTCCTATGGTCACCGCCAAATAACATGTCCAAGGCTCCTGGGATCTCAATGGAGCTCTTCTTGTTTCCTGGGAATAAGTTGACAGTGCTGCTGCCACTGTTGAATAGTCTTAAATGCACCGAATAATTGTTCCGGCATTCATATTTCATTTCGGGAAGCTATCGAGACCCACCATTTTCGAATCGCTGCACTGTACCTCCGAATCATTACGTACGCATCTAATCCGATGCATCCACAGCACCGTAAGAGTAGAAATTCAATGGAATAAAAGTTCATCGAAGCAGAAAAGCCCCCTAAAACTTCAAGGTTCGTAGGACTGCGCCATTCCAGGGCAAGGACTACCGTAGAGCTTTTCTGGAACCTGTCCGAAGTTGGGTCAGTCTCCTCCTCACCTTTGTGTTACTGTACGCGGTGCTGACTGGTCATTGTATATAGGGTTAATTATACTTGCCTGGCTCCAATGTGGATCCCAAGAGTTCCTCGCCATAGTACCGTTGCTATTCTAAGCCTTCCACGGGCTCGGGTCCTAGTATCTTGCAGGACGTGCTAGAAATGCACGCCAAGTAGGTTGGTCCCCAAGTGGGATCACTTGAGTAAGCTCCCCTACTTGTAGGATGGCGGAGAGACACCGAAGCCGAAAAAATATCCACCCCGCAATGGCGTACGGTTATATGCCGCGTTATTCGCGGTTTATGGAAAAGTTTCAGATCTTGGTGGGTTTTGGTGCTTTGTCGCACTAGAGAGGCAACCAAGCCTGAAGAAGCTAATGGTGGAGAACCAGATGGCTATAGCGGTGGCATCGGATCACACGGCTCAGCAGAGGATTTCTCTTCGAAAAAAACATTCTGTCAGAACCTGAAGAAGTGCAGACTTCTTCATATGCTTTCTTTGGGAGAGCCAGAACAACTTGGATTCAGTATCGAGTGGTAAAGGCATTCCACAAGTTGAAGCAAATGCTCAGGTGCATATTTCGACCATGGAGTAATCCAAAGCGTTGACTAACAATCAACAAGGTGGTAAATAAAACATATCACCATGAAGATATAGTAAAATGAAGACTTGTGCACAGAGACGAAGTTGCGACTGGTCTTGGTTGGAAAACCAATAAATGTCTTGTTTTGGAGACTTAAAATGAAAGCGCCCGACTCCGAAGAGCAATGATCATGTCTAGGTACAGAATATCAACAGGATATTCAATGTTCCTCTTCGTAGACTTGAGAAGCGGTCTTCCCGGCATTTGATGACTCACCTGCCTTTTAATTGACTAGTTAAGTTAAATAATAGCGAACTAACTAACTAGTCAGGTGATTAGTTAGCAACAAGCGTTGACGTCAGAAAATCTGAAGCCACTCAAAGCCTCGTGGGGTCGCAGTTTCAAACCGCCAAATAGCCGCGTCCAATCAGCTTCCGGAGAGCCACAAATTCCCCACTAACCTGTGGTCGAGGGCCGACTCCCGAAGTTCAAGAAGACTAAAGTTCGCGGTTCAGAACAACCTCATTCAAAACCTCGGCTCTTTATGTCTTTCCATGTGACTCAAGGCTACTTAAAAGGACAGTCCTCTCCCTCCAAGAGCAGGCGAGAATGGCCATCTAGCCAAAAAATGCCGTCTCGGTGGAATAGCGCATAACTAACTTCCGTCCATGACCATTGCGGTTTCAAGACCCACGATCAGAGGTAGACACAGATAGTCTACCTGGCTATCATGGTCCTGATGGCGAACGCGAATGATATCTCCAGGGCAAGATTCTCGCTGGCTATTCATATTTAAATAAACGTTGTTAGTAGGGTCGGAATCTCTGAAAAAGATAATTCTACCAACGCTGCAGTGTCTAGGTTTGTTGGTCAAGGCTTTCAGAATTGGAGTTGAACTCGAGAGGCTAAACAAACATGGAGGTATCATCAAAGCAGAGAACTGTTCCAGGACGCCGGATGTGTTTTAAGTCGTGTTCTTTGCGCCGAAACCGTGCAAATATTCGTTGCTGTGAGATTTCTTATCAAGCCCCTGACGGCGCCTTGATTATAAAACGTGCGGGAATTTCTACAAGTCAAAACGGATCCCCGCGACATACCAATCTCATCCCTGCGACAACCAGAACGGATCTCTACGACACACAAAAAGGATCCCCGTGAAATACAAAACGGATCCCTGCGACAACCAGGACGGATCTCTACGACATGCAAAACAGATCTTTGCGACTACCAAGGATCAGAGTTTGGTGGTTTCATGTAGGCACCGCTTTGGTCTCTCATCGATGCTGGTCCTTGAAGAGGCTGAGTGGGGGTTACTGAAGTGATCAATAGAATCTATGAATGATGTCACTGATAGCATTATACAAGCAGTGTATTGTATTGTATTTCGGAGATTAGTTTGCCATCAGTCCGTGTATCTAGTATCAATTGAGTCGTTCGTTAATGGTGTAGGGTCTCCTAGCTATTTCGAAGCCCGATATGTCTAAGATGGCCGACGGAATCGGCAACATGATTTGCTCTTTTACAGAGAACGTTGTACGTTACGGAAAAAGGGGAGCGAGGGCCCCTAGACACTTCACAAAGGATCAAAGCCTTTTGACTTTAACATGGATTGGACTGTAATAGACAGAACAGGAGTGAAATCAAAAACGTGAAGCAACAATAAGGCCGGACTAACAAAAGCATGTCCGATTCGGTGTCAGGTAGTTCTCTTCACTCTTCATGGACAGACGCAGGTCGACGTGGAAGCCGCAGTATCCGACTTACTGCCTGAGACAGTGGTCGAGGAACAGACAGTACTCGAAGAAGAGACAGTACTCGAAGAAGAGACAGTACTCGAAGAAGAGACAGTACTCGAAGAAGAGACAGTACTCGAAGAAGAGACAGTACTCGAAGAAGAGACAGTACTCGAAGAAGAGACAGTACTCGAAGAAGAGACAGTACTCGAAGAAGAGACAGTACTCGAAGAAGAGACAGTACTCGAAGAAGAGATTGCCGTAGTCGAGGTCATCGGCGTGGAGGACGAGCTAGTAGTGGTCGTTGACTTATAATCAGACGCACTGCACCAACTGCCAGCCTGAAGTCCATTATTCAAAATGCATCCTGATTGATCACCATTTTGATTGAAAAAGGTGACTTCACCGGTCTGATTGACCGCTATCCAGGCGACATATTTGCCGTCTTCAGTCCCACACGCTCCTACACTGAGAACAGAGAAGTCTTTGCGTGTGCCGTTCACTATCTCGCTCAGTTCTGCGAAACAGTCAATATATGGTGTTAAGGTAGTTCATGTTGATTTGACTTATACCTGAACAGTCAGTTCCATTAAGCTCTGCAAAAGGTTCAGAGTAGCCCGTGCATCCATGATTGTTGTTGGACCATATCAGACATTGGCGATCCTGGTCGATGACTCCGAGGGAGGCCCCCAAGGAGGTGCGAATGAAGACTCCGATGAGAACTGCTAGTAACGGAATCTGCATGATGGGGTTGATTTAGAGAGTGCTAAGCCATTGGAGATGGGTGCTACATAGCTCTTTATAATCAAGCTATGTGAGATGAGTAAGCTGCGAAACTATTCTTGACCCCTGAATTGACCCTTGTCATGCAGCCGATTATACTTTGGGCGCCGTGGTACACTGCTTTATTTGACTGCGGCACTGCGACACCTTTTCTGAATTCCATGAAGCTCTTCACCTTGCGATCAGGTCCATCAATCTCGGCAGCACCACAGAGAAACACCAAGTTCCAGCCGTGTCATCCTTTTACCTTGTCACTATTGTGGTGTAGAATAAACCAGAGTGAGTGATATACAGTGCAGTCATTCTCGAAAATTGCCCTGATCAGTACACACTGAGACACTCTTTCCTGGCACCACTGCCCAGGACTTAGCGCAGATCATTCATTGAGCGGGCTGCATTAAACCGAGAGCTCAGTAAAATGCGTCGTAAGATTACATTGCCTGTGACAAGAAGTAGAATTCCATGGAATATGGAAGATTTCTGCAAATTATGTGAAGGCCACCTAACGCCAAGTAGCTTGATGATTTGCTGGGAGACCTCTTCCTCCTCCTCCTTTTGTGCGGTTTGTGCTAATAATCAATCGCGATGGTTTCTCTTTGGCCCAGAGAACCTCAACAAGTGATATTAGCCGATGCTGACCATCTAGTTAGCGTTGTTCGCAGGCGAACAATACCCTCAATATCCCTTAATGGGATAAGCCTCAACTAACAGCCACTCACCCTTGGTGTGTCGTTACAGTATGGCGAAGAGAATGACATCCAATTCTATCGTTAGCCATGATGGATATGACGTTCAACAAAGCATGTCGCTTGACCTGTGGGGTGACAGATCACATTATGCACCAACACGTGCAACCTCCGTTGCCCCCCCCCCCCCAATCCGATATAAGCTGCATCGACGTCATCTCATCTCCCCTATCGATAATGCTTCTCCACAACAAACTGCTTCGCAAAAGAATAGACTTGTGCTACTCCAGGTCGGTGATTAGGAGGAAGGTAGAACATATGCTGAGGATTCGCCGACTTGTATCCAGCACACGCATTCTCAAAATTACCTTGACTAATACAGACTTGATTATTCTTTCCTGGTCCCACCACCAAAGACTTAGCGCAGATCAACTATTGAGCGAGCCCGCACTAAGTTGAGGGACAGCGTATTGTATAGGGCTCATGGCGTGTGTGCCATCAAACTCCATGGAAGTTAAAAATGAGGAACAATTCAGAGAGAGGTGTCTCGGGCCTTAGCATATAAGAACGGACATAACCGAGCTCGGTCTTTCATGTCGGGTCTCTATCACCAGTATCTAGAGCTTCTCGACCTCAAGCCACCAGGCCTGGTTCACATTCGTCGATGTCAGATTGCCCAGATGTTTGAGTGTCCTAGTATGGCCATCGGCGCATTGCCCGTCATAATAGCCTCGTTTTCAAGAAAAGAGTGCATTTCGCAACAATAAGACAAGAGAGAAGAGAGGAGTGAGAGGGGAGAAGTGAGAAGTGATGGAGGTCATTCATAACCCTGGGTCTCTGCCATTCAGATCGCTGACAGTTAATCACCATATCTACGCGCTGTTTTGTATCATCAAATTGCTGTGCTCGGCCCCCTGCTTGCTGATGTCCGCTCCCTGGTCCATGAACAGCTTGGCAACCTCCTCATGACCTCCCGACACGGCTGCGTGTTGACGTCCGCTCACTGATCCATTGGTCTAGGGCAAACCGGATGCTTCGGTATATTTGCCTAGTTCTAGCATTTTGTGTAGGCAGTCAAGACATTTCTAGTGGACTATTTTGGTTTATTCGCCAGGGTTAATAACCTGGATTGGCTTCACGCATGATCCGCATGGAGCAAAGATGACTGTTCAAATTGACAGGCTGTGTAAATGACAATTTCAGTCCATCATTCTTCATTTAGTTCGCATCAGCCGCTCATTTAACAAGGTTATTTGCATTTGTGTAGTTCAATCACTGGGTGGACTAGGGGCACATGCAGGCATGCACAAATGTGAAAGATTGACCACCCAATTAACCCTAGTTGACAGTTGACGGGCTCTTTATCAGCCATCCATCTCTATGTGAGCTGATACGCCTGTACTCTAGCACAAGAACTACTTACCAGAGTCGGTCAAAATTAACTACGTAGAGAGGGATAAAAATTCTCCCTTCTCCAGGACAAGATACTTGCGGTCCGAAGAAATAGCAACAGCCGGCAGGCATTATCTCAATTTTGATAGATACAGCGAAGGATAAAGATATCCTATTTGAGTTCCAATTGTCGACCGAGAAGTTCTGAAATTTCAAATGCCGATTTGATAAATGCAGTTACACGTTGGCTACAATCGCTGGATAGCTAGCGGGTGCATAAGTTATTTGGACATGTACCAGGGTAACGTGCGCCAAATCCACGGCCTCCCTGAATCGTACTCAGTAGTTTTCTGTGGGGGTTCCTCCAGAGCTACGATCGGCCTCCTGCCTCTGGATTAACTTATACTTGAACTTTCTAAACATTGAAGGCTAAACTACAGGCAGCCCCTTTTCAACTGACCGACGGCAACCGAGCAGGCAAAGAAGATCAAGATGAATGGTCGTCTGGCCGAATTTGCCGCATACTGTGACGGGTCAAATGCGGATGTATTATATGAGACTGGGCTGAATGAAACTGTCGGGACATATCCTCCCGTCAGAATAAGCAAAGACATGTTGTACGTAATCTTGCTGAGCTGCGGCTCCCGCCGCATGCATTCAGGGGCACTGGACGAGGACCTGGAACATACATCTATCTACATCAATCAATTTTGTTGGTATCACCAGCTAGGTAATGTGTACACAGTTAAGTGGACAGCATCTATGCTCCAAAAGCAGAAAGTAAATTGATTGATGTAGATAGATGTCTGTTCCAAGTCAGGTCAGGTTCCAAGATACCCCTTAATCCCATGCACGGACACTCGGCGGTCACAACACCGGAGCCGCAGCTCGGCGCAAGAATGCGTACACCAAGAAAAGGATGTTATGTCCCGACAAATTTACTTTCTGCTTATGGAACAACCATGCTGTCCACTTAACTGTGTACACAGTACCTAGCTGGTGATACCAACAGAAACTCTACACGTTTGGTTAGTTGATGATTTGTCTACTGTGGCCTTTTCTACATACTAGATTTGGAAACATCTTGCATCAGGCTCTCTTCAACGTTGCAAGAACTGCACGGAGTGGGCGACTGCACAGTCTTAGAAACATCATTCGGAATAATCTCAACTGTAAGATCGATTTACGGTTAAAATACAATAAATTACCGTACCTTCACATTTTGTGACCGATGACCTGGATCAATGACGAGACTAGTAACCTAATCGTTTTAGTTAAGCAGCTGTGAGCTTCGGGGACGGGCACAGAACGTACCGGGATCGAAAACACTGTAACTAACCAAGCGAGCACACGGGATGCCATCTGAGCAGATTGTTCATTTGGAATGCTTCATATAAAAGGTCAAACTCATATAGACAGCAATGTCGATATGCATAGTTTCTTCTAAACATTATAGTCAATTTGGGCTTTTTATAGGCTCTGCCAACAGCGTACTGAGATTCTCAAATGCCGGGGACTCGGCCGCCGTGTAATCTTGAAGTCTTGTCTCTATCATTAGAAGCAACCATCTGCAGAAAGAAATAGAGACAATTTGAACAATTTCGCTTTCGATCTGGAAGCATTTATGAAATACACGCCAAGTGATTGCGTGTTAGTGTCTTCTCGTCTCGTTCAAATCAAGCACTCAAATCTTGATTTAGACACTGGAGAATGCACATGGTTTTCGAGAGGTGGTGAATTGAACCGATAAAGCTCCGACTCAATCCATGTATTTCCTATAAGAAGAGTTTCTCATCAGTATTATGATTGATCACTCGTCACAAGTCTAGCCCCGATTGAATGCTTCGAAGTAGACTTATGTCACCACCAAGTTTTCATGACGACACGTCTTGTAGCGGAACCACGCTGGGTTCTCAGGATTCAGAGCCCCAGGATGTCCCAAACTCAGAACTTGACTCCGATTATGTCCCTTCGGAGATGAGTGAAGATCGGGCATTCGTTGCTTCCGATACAGAACAGCTCTCTTACTTCTCAGACAACAACTCCAATGCGGAGGACCCGATCATGAGCATAATATATGACTACACAAGCCACGAGGACCGAACGGTATGAGACAACCCCTATGTTGCGGCCAGCCTTGTCTCACCATTCTGTTTAGATCAAACCGATCAAAGCGATAGCAAAAAGAAAAGTTACCCAAAACGGCCAGTGGAAGACCGAGTATCTAGTACTTTGGTGCTCTTGGGAGAGCTTGGATTAGGGATGGCGAATAGAACCAGAATCTGGGGATGAACGGGCTTTCTTTACTTCATTTTTCACAACAGTGCCTATACAGTACAGTGACAGTATCGAAGAATATCAGCCAGTCATAAGAACTAAAATACGAAAAGCATCCTTGGAAATTGTCGCTTCCCGCCACAGCCCAAGCCTTAGTTAATCCAGAAAAAATCCTCAGAAAGATGCCAGCACGGAATCACATAGCCTGTGTGAAGATTTGATGGTAGCAAAGGAAACCAAAAATCCCCTGTACAGCCTTATGATTTCCCAACTTCAGGTCTTTGATAAATGGGTAAATAAACGGAAGGCAGGGTTCCTTGTGCAGCTTGAGACGATATTGTCCATAATTCCGACTCTCATCAAGGAATGCAGATAATACAGGTTCCAGCTCGACGCCTCCGTTTGATAGCCCACGTAAAATTGCCGTAAGCGAGAAAAAATCTCGGTGGTTGTAGAGATCCTAGACAGTGTGAGTTACCAGCTCATTGGATAATATAATAGAACCAACCTGAGAGAGCCCCAGTAGCTTGGTGTTCAGCCGTCCTGAAGCTGCAATCTCCTCTGCCTCGTGGCAGAGGCAGCTCCATCGACGTGCGAGCGCTTTCAGATGACAGTCATCGTTCCAGACACCCTCAAGACTGATTTGGCGAAAGGACCGTAGTATGTCGCGAGTCAGGATTCTCGAGCCACTGACTACAGACTGATCGATTACAAGGGTCAGTAATGCGGTGGCGGTTCGGAAGTAGGACCCATTCGCAAGGTCTACGCTTCTGCAATATCGCTGGTAGCGAGTTTCGAGGACCGCGAACTGACAGATGATGTCGTTCGTCGGATGTGACAGTAAGTCTTTGACTGGGGTCGTAATAGGTGATGTATCCAGTGTCAAAGCCGGGTACGGACTGCGATCTTTGGCGTGTGTGAGACCGTGCAAGAGACTGGCGTAAAGGAGCCGATCGTGTGTTCGAATGGTCTACCATGTTTAGTCTGGGCGGGTCCAAGGCAGAGTGTGTGTTCCTACCGATACTATAGAATCGTATGTGGTGATCTCATCAGGAACTTGACGAAGGAAAGAAAACAGCGAAAATGCTAGTCTGCTGTAATATAGCCTGAAGATCTTCATCTTGGTCGACGGCATACCCAACACATCATCAGCCCAGTCCCGGAGACCCAGACCCTTGAACATATTCCAGCTCTCCCGCAGGAGTTGCATGGTGATAGCCCCGGTATCTTCATGCTTTGAGAAAATTTTCCAGGATACTGGGCTGTCCTTCAATGACACCTTTCTACAATGGCGGGCGCTAGGAAAGCCGTCGTTGTCACTCGATAAATCTGCGTCCTCAAGTTGTCGGGTAACCTCCAAATCCACCATTGGCCATGGCACTTCAAATATCGAGTGTCGTATAGCCGGCACTTGGGGCGCCCGGTCGGCCATTTGCAATGATAGTACGCAGCTTCCGGGAAAGCAATAACCGAGTTGTTTGTCCTAAGGGGAAACTGGGCTGTTCTAATTTGCAGATACAGGCCGAATGCCAACAGCGGCTTAACAGCGCAACTAGGCGAACGATGCGTCAACGCTCCGCTTTATCCTTGAGATATGCCGATGGTTGCCAAAGGATGGTAGTTCTAGCAGACAAATGAGAAAACCCAAGGTGCTGTCAAAAATCCCCACTTTAATGGTACCCTTGAAGGTGCCGCAGTTCCAAATCGATCCGGACAAACACTAAGCGCCAGTCCATCAAGAAAACGCATGCCTAACTTTCAACATTTGCTACAGTCTTCATATCCTAATTTACTTGGAGTTTCTGAGCTCGAACTGTATCTCATTGCATTTGATCCAGCACGGCCTCAAATTGAAGGTACCGCATTCCAACTATCGATGCGGAACGCTTAGACGTTGTTATTATGCGCCCTCGATGAAAATACGACCGGTGATCATTCAGCTCAAAGCCACGCATGAAAACATAATTTGATTGATCAACATGTGCTGAGGGTTTATCAAGAAAATGCTGGGTACGGTGTGCCTAGTTCCAGTGAATCAACAATCCCAATAACAACCGAGCCCCGTTTCCGTCCCTTTTAATTAACGACATTCGCCCCAAGTACGGATGGACACACCCAACTACAACTCTTATTTCCGTAGTTTCTCATGATATACCGGGATACCTTGTCACAATATTATACCTATCTACCGTCCTTCTTGATTGTTAGAAGACAAACGCCATCCGTCAGCTCTATATATACCAATTTGTAACTCGTCACCATCGTGCCTTGTTGACCCTCGAGTGGCGTCAAACCCATGACGAGCTAAAGGTTACCAATCAGCCTCACAGTCCGATGAGAATTCTACCACTCCACCGATTTCCGCGACGTGCCATTCATTCGCTCAGGTACCGGCACCTTAAACTGAACTGGGAGGCAAAACTCACACCAAAGCCTCGGAATATCGTACTCATTTGCAAGAAGCCAGCGTATGGCCTCCTTCGCAAAGTAGCTAGGAGAGGGATTCGATCAATTGCACGGCAGGCGCAAGCTGCCGACCATGGAACGATGACAATAGCTCGCAGGGCGATTAAATCCTCTTTCACAGAGTGTGTTCAACAATTCCACCATTATCTTGCCGAACAGATTGATCAAACGACGCACATTACCCAAGAACAGGTACTCGGTAGAATCGCACAGCGGTTCCCCAAGTACAAGTCGGTAATAAGTGCAATTCCGGTGGCGGCGGAGTGTATCCCAGAAGGGTTGAAACAGGACCTGGTTATCAGAGCGCAATCCAAGTCATTCAGAATCGCTTTGGTACTGCTTAACACATGGGCAAAAGAATGTTGTGATCCTCTCCCGTGCTGGTCCCAACAAAATTTCCCAGCATTAACGAACTAGGAGATCGCTGTTGACAACTCATCGCCTCAGGGCCTACGGATATGGCTTGGTACCACAGCATGACTGTAATCATAATCCATTCAATTTACCGCAAAAAACACACGGTGGTGGGTGCTTGTTGAATCAGCTGGTTTTTAGTGGCAAAATACCACCTCTCGGATTGAGAAAGCAAAAAATCAGCTGAGCATTGGTCGGTTCCTGTATTATCAAACACCATTTCCTACGAAACTTTCTTCTATAGTAATATACTTGTAATATCGGCCGGTAATAGGGGCTGTTAGAGCCGTTTATCCGCCTTCACATCTGGCCAATAATCTGGATGTTCAGGTGACCTAGACACAGATTCGTCCAAGCGCATTCGCTCTCATTTCATCTTGCTCACGGCTTCTCAATACGACTATTCTGACACCCATCTCTTGTCGACAGAGTTTGCCGCAGCCGTAAAACGATAATCTACACTTGGTCAGCCCACAGTGCGTATTCATTTGGGCCAGATTATCCTTCACCTGTCCAAAGCTCCACTTTGTTCATTGATTCGGCAAATTGTCCAAAGACAGATTTCACCCTCCGATCCGCCTCTCTCTTGTCCAGCGTTCCTTTTTCAACCTGATGTCGTAAATATCTGGCTTGGTGAAAAGCCTTCGTGAGGTCCTTGCGAGCTTGTATCGCGCTTTTGACCGACTTCCAGTCCGCGGTCTTCAAGACCGCTTTGGAAAAACGCCAGTCCTCCCTCAGCTTCTTTGAAATGGACCAAGATTCACAAGTTGACCAAAAATTGAGTGCACTTATCCAGTCTGTAATAATTAGATGAGAAAGTACACCTGAAAGGGAAACCATGGACGAACCGTGCCTGATGTAAGGGGGTGGGTCACCGAGTGAGTCAGCGGCATAGGACATGGTGTTTCTTACTCCAGTCGCATATCAGAATCCGAAACCCACGGTTCACTAGGGCTTAGAGGATGGGTGGAGGAGCGAATATTAAATAAAATGCGAGCCGACTCGTGCCACTATAGAAGCGGCATTCTTGCACGTACCCCCTTTGCTTTCTTGATGGCTGAGCTAAATCCTTTCTTTTCACTGTTTCACGAGTCTCTATCCATGGAAGTGTTTTATGAGGATCCGAGCATCCATGAGAGAAATGTTGGGAGGAGTATAAATCCACAATTGTGCCATTTGGATCGACGTTGCCTATCCATCGTCGAGGACCCACTACTTCCTGCAACAGTAAAGGGTTTATCGAAAGACTTTATGGATAATATCATACAATGACTTCTGTACCGACTCCTCCTCAGGGGCTAGTCTTTACTAGTGTATCAACTTCATACCATCGGCTAGCCTCCGAGAAGGCATCGTCGCGGACACTGCAAGCATACTTCGCACGGCTCTCGTGCACCCATCTAAGCTCCAGGCTTGTATCTGATCAGGTAATTTTCTTGCGGCTCATACGACTTGCTCTACCAGCCCCCCTCGGAACGGTGGCTGATACAAGTCAAGATCCTTCCGAACACGAGGGAGACTGAAGAGGCACCTTCAGAAAATCCTTCGGGTAGTGGGTCTGACTTCACTCCGTCAACAACATCACCAGAAGGTCTGCCAAGCACAACGGAGTTCAACAACACCCAAGACCAGGAATCTATTGCGACCAGCCCTCCGGACCCAAGTCCCCTCGGCGCAACGCCCTCTACCGACCCCCTAACTCAAAGCCTAGTCACACTCGAAACGAACCAGAAATCCCCAGGCTCTCTCCCCGACGACCTTCTCACTTTAACTTCACAAGTCGACTTTGGCATCGAGCGTGTTCTACCAGCAACGACAGGAAGCAATAATCCTCCGAGTGACAACATTATCGGCGACTTAGAACCAACTGAACGTGCACAGGCTTCTCTCATCCGCACGTCTGCCGAGGGCGGTATCCAACCTGGTCACTTCTCTCATGTGCAGGTAGAAAGTCAAAATGCCCTGCAAGAGGACACAACACAGGGCGCCTCAGGTCCGCAATCATCTACAACACTTGTTATCATCAGCTCCTTATCATCTACGACAAGTTTTGTTTTCTCAACCCCCACTACTGAGTTGGATTGGAGCGGGGTGTCGCGACGGCCCTCGAAACAAAGCCTGGCGGCGATTTTCGGCAGTATACTAGGAGCAAGCATCTTTGCCGGTTGTATTGTGATCTTGCACAGGCTATGTTATCGGAACTGCCGAAACACTAGAGTCCGAAAGCATGCCATGTATAGCGCATATCACAGCGGCCATGAAAGCAAGCGTTTAGAACTAACTCCTCCCGAGATATCACGCTTCTCAAAGGATTCTTAACGCGTCCTGTCACGTACCACGGTATCCCTGACTCGTATACGGTACCAGAATACATATTTGACAATGTCTGACCACAAGTCTTTGTAACCCTGTACCTCCTGACCACCTGGTCTACACCGCCTACCTTTCGCACCACCCTGCGATGCTTTACACTGATCTGGGCATATTTATTAACAACACAAATGCCCATTAAAGTCACTAGAAAAGAGGATTAAGAATGGAAGCTAGTGCACTAAATTAAGGAAAAATTTGATCGAAATTGGGTGCATTTAGTAAGGTAGAAAATCCCGCAAGAAAGTTGGTGAAGTACTAGGGTTTGGATACTAACGGACCGCCACTATACAAATACTTGCACTAGACACATCGTCTCCAAGACCCCATGTTGACCACGAATCTAGGGTCGTGCTTACCCCGAATAAAGCAGGACGTAGGATTCACCTGAGCTATGTACGGCTCTTAACCACTTACTATCTGATTCAGTTTGGAACTACCACGGCCGATTCCCAAAAATCATTGGGCAATCCCTTTGTGTGGAACGGTGACCTAGCATTAGGCTTTGCTTCTCAAATTCCATTATATTCAAAGGCGCCTGCTTGAGCACTCTGGACAAGTTCAATCGCTCCCTCAACCAACGTTTCCACATTGTCAGCTATCACTCCCCTGGTACCCCGTTGGCCTGTCATTGCATGTCCAATTGAATAAATAGGGTGAAGAAGACATCCTCGACAGTAAACGGCGCGTATGGTCGAGAAAGGAAATAACATGTAATGAGAAGCACATTCCCAATGACTGAGCGTCCTATCTCCTTGGCGTGACAGGGGTCTCTCCTCATCTGGAAAAAAATAGAAATGGAAGTCATATGTACTCAGATGTTCGAAAAATGCGTCCAGAGCGCCTCGATTATAGGGAAGCCAAATAGCCCCCTCCCGGAAGCTTGGGATCTCGAATCTGAAGTGCGTGATCTGGACAGAGTGCAACTGTTCTGAATGAGAGAAAGGATCGCCCAAAATCGGGCTGTAGTTCGGCTGCAGGGGCTCAAAGTTTGCGGGGGTCCTAGGTGGGCGAACGGGAGACGGATGCACATGTTCGTAAGTTTCAGGTGCCAGGTTAAAAGATTCAGGTCCCGCAGTCACACCAGCATCAGATTCCTGCCAAAATCCGCTACCCTCCTGACTGTCAATCTCTTGGGGAAGGAGATATGAAAAAAAGGCATTAAATACGGACTGTCGCACCGAAACCGCGCTGACACGTACTTGGATAGTAGGATGTGCGAGCGACTCGAAGGAGAGGGCATATCGGTCGGCTTCAATAGAGTCGGTAAAAGGCTTGCCACAGCGCCGTTCCAGATCCACATCTTGGCCCTCCTCTGGCGGGAAATCGGATTGCACCTGCAAGGGGATCTCAGATATAGCTCTCTCCGTGTCGTTGACAGACACCGGAGGATGAATCCCGTGGAGACGGGCTAGGCCGAAGAAGTGGAATCGGAGAGAGGGAACCATCTCTGCGGTGGGGATTTCATGGAGCCCATATTCTTGTGCACGCTCTATATCCTCCATTTTCCGAGGCACGCGGCGATGATGGTCCTTCTGCGTTGTCAGCTCGAAAGCGAACTGCTGGCTGAATCGCCAAAGATTCCAGAGTCCCGACCGGAACCGACTTCCAGAAATTCTTGACAGATTGTACCCGAGTCCTCCTGATTCTACAATGTATTGTTCTTCCAAAGCTTGGTCAATTGATCGCGTCGCCGTTAAAGGGCTACGACAGAGTTGGCGCATTACGCTCTGTCCGACATCGAGGAAGAGGATATCCTGGAAGAAGGTCTTCAGTGTCGGGATGGGGAGATGAATCCGCTCCATTCTCTGCCAGATTGCATCACGGTCTCGTTGGCAGTCGATGTACTTAAAGAGTCTATTTTGTTTCAGGCGGAGGAAATTCAAGTCCCGGGCTGAGACCCCAGGCGCTCGGGACTGCAATAGGTGAACCGTCATCGCATCGATTTGGGAAAGGAGATCCACCTGCCCTCCTACCAGGTTATAGAAAACGCGCTGGATGTAGTTCAAGTAACAAATTATGGGCTAAATACACATATCGGATTAGTATCTTTCCATCGACGACACGAACATGGGTAGAGACGAGTAGCATCACCTCGTTACATCGCATGGCTCTCAGCTTGTGCAAGACACCAATACTCATATCGGCCCAGAGGCCCTTTATGGGCAGAAGTGCATCGAATCCGTCCACCAGGGGTTGAGGAAGTGCACGCAGGTAGTCTGCTTTTCGGCTGCCAGGCTCGCTCTGTAGGACCGCCCACCAGAAGTTCTCGGCGATTTGATTACGACGCCCACCAGTCGCGCCTTGATAGAAACGAATACTTTGGTAGATGCGCCCGTCGCAGGGAAATCGTTCTTTGCGGAAATTTTCTCGAAGCGTGCGAATAAGCTCCTGATCAAGAGATCCAGGGTGACCTTGATCTGTGTCAGCAGCCATGCCAGTGGGGTTTACGTTGCGGTCGACGGACCTGAGGTAGTCACATACACGTCCACTATCCACCATGGATTTTCTTCACCTAGCTCCTGGAATCTCGCTCTGGCGGCCGTGATGAGACTTTCTTGATCCAGGGCTAGCAGTGTGTAGTCCGGGCTTTTACATAGTTGATCAAATGGCAGATCAGGAGGCAACGCGGAGGCCTCGAGCCAGACTCGTCCAGCATCCCAGACCACCGCGTCGATCACGACGGGCACATGAAAAGCTTTGCTCATACGGTAACATCCTTGTGATCTCAAAGTCCGTTTCAGCCGCACCACATTCTGGCGATCTTCAATAAGCCGGCTCGCATTACGCCCAACGGATAGGTCGGACAGTTGGACAATCGCGACACACTTGAAGCAAGACTCCTGATACGTAAAGAGCCTGTACTCATCTCTCTCGATCTCGCGTTGCTTGCTTTGTGTGATCTTCGCAGCTCGGGGTCGTGAACGTCTGTGGTTTCTGGTTCCTCGAGGCATGCCAACTTGGCTCCCGTCCGACGCTTTGAAGTCGGAGTTATTTGTTATCGTGAGTGCTTCATGTGCGGGCTTGTTAGGCGATTAAATAAAACAGCAACAGACACCTGCGCGATTGTCGACGTGCAGAAGCTGGAGCCGTTTGACGGTAGAAAAGCTGTCACGAGCCGTTCCACCAGCTGCATTACATCCTCAAAAAACAAGTGTCAACAAGGGTGCTTGACAGTATCTGCCACCGCAATGAATGACGGGCCGCTTAACACTCTGTCTAAACTGTCATTGCCCAAACTGGAATATGCGATCTGCACTTTGCTACAGTGGCAATACGTTCTGCTAAATGGAAAAGATGGCCAATTATCCAAAATGCTAATGCTCTTCTGATTCTGTACCAGGCATAATTCATGCCGCATATGGGTCCGATTTCCATGTACGTGACTGTGTCGCAGGAAGCTCATAGACGACTGTACGGTTGTCGGCGTAGGTCTGAGCCCGAATCTCAGCGCACTTCGTCCTCTTCCTTGAACAGATACCAGACGCCGGGTTTAGCACGGGGTTATGCCAGTGTTTCCAGTGGTAGGCTTTAGATCGGCGGCGGTGGCAGCGTATACAACGCAAAACTCCGGTTGTTCGCGGGGGCCACATTAAACAATGTGTTCTCATGGCCTACCCTCTCAGCATCTTCGTAGACCATGGGCACATAGTGTGACCTCCTATACCTGACAGGATTTGTTCCATCAGACCATCAATACTGAGGTTCTCTATGAGGCGTACATACCGCGCATGAAGCCACAATCTTGTTCCAGAAAGCCAATTCATCGCGGATCCAAAGGCCAAAAAATTCTGAAGGTTAAGGAACCGTGCCGTGTCTACTTCGCAGTGACTTTATTAGTGATTGGGACGTTTATCTATCTCCATCGGGACCCACGATGATGGAGTGCTGGAAAGCACACGACTCGTGCCTCAGCCTGTATTGCATTTAGTCTGGCGAACAGGCCGGCTTATGGATGGCATAGATGGTATAATCTAACTCAGAAAAATTTTATACAGTCATCCCGCCAGTTGAGATGAAAAATCTTTGGAAACTTGTTTGAACGGCAAGAGGAGCCGGAAATGCATCGGCCAGGGTGCTGCAGCAGTGTAAATACCAGTTTAAACACCAAGAGCCGGCACTCGTGCCAGATAGTCTGTTCAACTGGGTAAAGTTCAACTGAGGAAATTCATAAAGCACAAGGAGACAAGGTCACCTCCTTGGGTAACTATGGTAGGATACTGCCGCAAGGATGGCGGAGTCGTAATATACGGCTTCCTCGGTGCTACCCTACATACGATGCATGTTATCGCAACAAGTCAGAGTTGATTCTTGTTTTAGAAATTGCTGATGATGTTGTGGACAAAAATCCCTGGATCAAGGGGAGAGATCTCTGAATAGTTCTTTTCCATGTGCTCGATTCCGCCTCTCTGTTGTCGGTCTCGCCACGGCCATATCGCTAATTGCACCACAAATTGATCGAAACTAGCATCCCGACACCAATAGGAAACCCAGTGTAATAGAGCATCGTAGACATGTAGCTGAAACCTGCTTAGTGAGTCGGCGCTCCAATTACTCGGTGAAATCGTGAATGGAAGATCGACTACTGTCTGGCCCGAAAACCGACTTGTGATGGACAGTCTTGTGCTAAGCCAACGGACTGGCCCGCCAGGGAGTGTGGAGCGAAGGAAACCAAACACATCCTCGCTGTACGTAAGCGGGGACAATAGATCGGGTCCCCTCCATTCGACAAAGAAGCAATCCTCGCAGTTAGGGAAGAGAAGACAGTGTATAGTCAGGGGAAAGCTGCTGGTTGGCCCATGATATATTGGCGACGGCTCAATCGACAGCCATGGCAATGGTTGACCTTGCTCCTCGCAATCAACCCCCGCATCCAGTGCACCGTGAGAAGGAATGGGAAGCTCTGGAAGATCCAGAAAGAGATCCTCGGGGCTGACTGCGGCTGTGGTCGCAAAGCTGCGCAATCCTGAATGGTTCCCTACGATGAGTTAGTGTCTGTTTGTGGTGTGCCAGGAGCTGTTCTACCGACAATATTGCATGTTCCTTGCCTTGGCAAGACGCTATCAGGTAGACTCGAGGGGTGGATGTATCTTACCAACTGGGTTGAGATTCCAGAAGTCATAGAACCCTTCAATTATTTGACAGGCTCGCGGGATAGATTCACCTAGCTCCAAGGCAAGAATGGCGTCATCCACCGACAGCTATGGGGGCTGTGTGCCATAGGTACTAGATGGGTTATTCTTTCGTTCGCCAAATTACTCTACTAGTCTCCAGAACGAAACACAAATCTACAGCCGTAACCAGAATTCAATAGATGACCATAGTTACACTTGCCGAGTAAGTTTGAACTTTTCCAAAATTACTATCCAACCTTCTACAATGTTTAATATCTTGGCATCTTCTTCGACCCAGCTCGCCATTCATGCCGTGTTTGTTTCAACATGTTCTGTGGGAAATCATACTCTTCCACTTATTCTGTCATTTGCTGTCGCAAGCTATCGGGAGATGCAGATCTGCCTGTGGTAGTTTGGAAAGAGGTGAAACACATGGACAGCTTTGGTGATCCTGAAAGGACCCATTACTTTACGATCTTCGGGTACTTGGAAGCGAGATTAGGTGTCATTTGCAATCTCCATCAAACCCATAAATCCAGAAAAGAAAGGAAAAGTCTCTTTCTTGTGTTCTCTGGTTCCTCGCCAAGGCCCATCAACTGGCTCACTGCTAACTGGGCTCCTCGCACACTATACTCCATACTCACGGTCGTCTCATCTGGTATTTCCACAAATTGGCCGATCACAGCAAGATTGGTCATCCCTTCTGGTATCACTTTTGGACGATCTCCGTAAGCTCGAGGCAATAGTGATGCTGTCATCCGTGGCATCACAGATGGGATTGTGATGGAGTTTTTCAGGATCGATGGTGAGAGGAAGCCAAGGTGCCACAACAGTTCAGTCATTATTTCCTCCCCGGAACAATTGAGCATCGGCTTTTTCACAAAGCTACCCTCACGTTCTGGACAAAGGCCATAACCCCAGAAGGTCTGTATATTGCCGGGTTGAAGGGGAAAAAATGGTTGACGTGGGATACACATGCTGATCTTCCAACTGCTGTCTTTTAAGTATACCAAGCTCCCTATGCCAGGCTCGTCACATGTCAATTTGACGAAACGGTTAAAGAAATCAGCATCCTTGAGCGTCACCGTGAAAGTCTCCAACATAGACTCAGTGACTCTAGTGCAGAAATTATATGGATCTCCAAGTGTCGGATGCTGCGTTCGTAGATTTAGCCACAGCGACCAATTTTCATCCAACTCGTTTTCAGCTATCATCGTCTTTGAAAACGGCGGGCTTTTGTTGGTACCGCTCGACGAGCCTGACGTGTCAGATCCGAGGGAGACGATAACTATGTCATCGGCACAGACAGTGATTGTTTCCCGGGAGCTATCGCGCAATACATGAATAGCTGAAACTGTTTCTGTACCACAGTCTGAAAGTGTCGCAATGTCTGTAACCTTGGTGCATAGTCTGAAATCAACTCCTTGCCTTTGAAGAAACTGGATGATCGGCATGATAATTGATTCAAATTGATTGAACTGAGTGCAATCTAGGGGTTTCTTAGTGTTCAAGTTCTGAAATTCGTAGAAGTATCTTCTAAGGCATCGCCGGAATTCGGCTGCACTGTGCCACGGCTGGAAGGTAAATCTGTTATTCCATCTTAGCATTGTGGAATGACCCAATTTTTATGGATCGAGCCGCCCACAAAGTAGAAAAAGCAATCCAAAATGTGCTGTCAAAAAAAGGTTTGTTGAAAATCTGATTGATTCGTTTTCTGGAAAGGCTTTCCTCGGATCTCAATAGGAGCATCGTCAACTTCATTCGGTCTATTAGGGTTAGGCCGAGGTCCCTAGCGTCCGTTCTCCTTGGTCCTTGATCTCCTTGGGCCAAGACGTGTGTAACACGAACATTTTGGGAAACTTTATCCTCATAATACTTTTCGATGTCCTTCAAGACTGTCCTTCCAGAAACGCTTGTGGAAGGCACCAGAGCAAGCAGCTTTTTCATGCAAACGTCATTGAAGCTTGGCAGGCATCCAGGTCGATGATCGTATCCGATTAGCGAATCGCCAGTACTGGTAATTCCATCTCCAGGGGTGTCTTGAGACTCTAGGATATGGATCTGAGATGCAGGCACATTGGCATCCAAAATCAAATGAACAGCCGATGCCAATGACGCAATACTGCTCCCTAGTATCCAAGCGTTGACCTTGCTAGGTGTCCGACGGTCTTGGGCTAGGACAGCTTTCTGTTGACGATTCATCTTAGACCAGATTTTCAATCGAATAAATATCCACAGATTCTGTTTCCGGGCTCTGATCTTGCTCTTGGGGTGGATTTTTATCGCTTATTCTACACTCTCGGATTTACCTTCGGGATAGATTTAAGAGAGTGATGACGTGAGCCACACGTGCCCCAGCGAATGCAAACAAAGCGATAACATCCTCTCTTCCCTTTTGGGTTTAGCTTCTTGACTCAGGCAGCAGATCCCCACCGCGAACCAGTTCCCCACTGACACCCTTGCCATCTCTTTCAGATCCTCCTAGTAACGCTAATTAACGCGTCTCCCACCTTCCGCCGCACCTCTTATCACTGTTCTCTTAGTCTTGGACAGTCCACCAAGAAATGAACCACCGTTTCCTGTGCGCCGCCACACGCTTATCGTCAACCTGGGCTCGCTGCCTGCAAGTACGGTATTTCTTGAAGGTGGTGTCACCACGTACTAATCTGTATCAAGAATGGTTCCGGAATATTGATGTTCCTGTATCGTAACCTAAACGGATTTTACGTTGTTCCCATGCCCGCTGAGATGACTATCACAAATGGATCACATGACACCAAAAACGTCATAGAAAGCTGGTTCGGGAATCAAAGAGTATTCCTGCTCAAATGCACTTCTCA